GTTCCCCCTATGCAGAAATAGGCAATGCTAAACATCCTCAGATTTAAAATAGCTCACATAAATTGAAAAGACCAGTCTTGCTTATGTTGAAAGAGAATGGTTGGCTCCACCCCTTTTTATTTGGAAAATGCAGGCTGCAGAGGCTGAAATATTTGTCCTTAAACTAGGCCTTTCAAAAAGTGAATTTGTTATAAACTGAGCAATACTAAATGGAAGTAACAGAGTGACAGTTCTCTAGAAGGGTAAGTATTTTGCCATGTATCTCCAGGGAATTAGCAGCATTGCTCACTAGCATTCACATTTTTAAAAGCCATAACAATTGCTTTGTGTTTGTTTGAGAAGTAGTTAAATGATGAAAAAAGGAGTCCGCTTCTGAGATTTTCCCTTGCTTGGTGTCACTTTATGAATGTGTGTGGGCACAAGAGGTTGTCCTATAAACACTCTTGGCTGCTGCCAAGAGTGTCACCATTTAGGCTGCTCTTTGCTATGTAAAGTTTGGCATCCTTTTTTTCCGCTGGCAACGTACGTGCAATATTGTGCAACAATATCAGGCCATTTTCTGGCATTTTGGATTGTGGATATTTATTTGTTTTATTTATAGGCCACCTTTCTTTCAATAAGGGCACCCAAGGCAGCTTATTTATTTGTTATATTTATACAAAAGCACAATTATCCTACATAACTGGGTTTTTTTTTAAAGAATTAATTTTCTGTGAATGTATTGGGCCCATGCAATTATTAGCATAGTTTATTCCTTCCTGGTAGTTTCTCTTGGCCAGTTGATGGTGAGATGGGAAAAATAATGAAATTGCCTTTGGCCTTCTGTTATTATTTATACACATATTCTAGCCTGTGGGACTGCACCATACAGTAGTCATTTGCAGTGCATATGAGTGGGGGGGGAGTTATGTTTCTGTGCTGTGCTGTTATTTTGTTTTTTGGTGATTTTTTTTTTTTTGCAGTCCCAGCGCCTTCTGATGGGGCTTGTTGCATTGTTTGTTTATTTTTTATTATTTTTATTTTTTGCAGCCCCACACCTTTGGGGCTTGCTCCATGGTTTATTTGTTGTTGTTGTTGAGTTACGTCCATAAATCATGGTCGTAAGTCAAGGCACCACTGTAATGCTCTAGGTGGAAATTTAAAACTTTGTGTGACTATGAATCGTATGAACTAGCTTTGGTCATGTCACTATCTCTGTGCCTAATTTCCTCAAAGAGTATTTATGGAAGATGTTAAACTTATAGAACACAGTGAATTGGATCCCAGCTTGGTCAGAGTAGACCCACTGGAGTTATGTTGGTTGTGGTGCTCCATAATGTAAATGTGTTTTAAGGTATTCTTAAATTAATGCAAATTCATTGTAATAGAATCCAAAAGATGACATCATCCCTGCCTGTCAATCGGAAGATAGAGCAGGAGGGGCGGAGCAAAAAGGACAGTTAAGACAGCTGGAAGAGCCTGTTAGGGAGACAGTTAGAATGAGATAGGGATAGAGTTGGAATCAGAGAGAGATAGAGAGAGATAGGGACCACAAGATGTTGAGAAAGTGTTTGGGTTTAGGAATAGATAAAAAGGGGTTCAGAAAAGAAACTGAAAGATTAAAACACACATGTAACAGGCAGAAATGAACTTATAAGTAAAACATGGGAGATATTGATTTAAAGTATACAAGAGTTCTAAATATCAGTGATTGAACACATGATTTATTATACATGAATACCTGAACCAGTTATATATTGATTTCATTTTTATTTGTTCATTAATAAAAGAATGTTTAATTGAAAACCTGATTCCTAAGTTATATGAGCAACTCCTGTGTGTGTGGGACCTGAATTGGTATTAAGAGAATACCTGGTGGCAGTGAAAAGGGCGTATTTACCTTTGTGGAGCCCAAAGATATAAAGGGCACAAAGGGGGATCGCCACATTCATATATAGAGAATGTGCAGTAATTGTAAGATATTTCATATACCACTCAACCACTCAAACTCATTTTTTGATTGAGTTGGTTTTATCTTTTCTTTCTCTGCCTCTCAAATTTGTGACTTGAAGTCAGAAGCTACTTTGCCTGGCATAGTCTTTTCATATTAATCTAATCCCCTTTGACTATGCAACTCAATTTCTTTAATTAGCTTTAAAAATGAAGATGATTAGAGTGGAGTGCTGCTATCAATTACTGTGGACAACTTAGTAGTCAATAATACATCAAAGCTCTGCTAGTCTATATTGTATTTAAGCCTTTATAAACATCCTAAATCTTACGTCAAGCTTTGGCATTTTATATATAGAGGGAATGTTCATAAAATTAAAGAGAGTATAGAAAAAAAATAGTCCTGAAAATGAAAGTGCTTTTGAAATTAAGGCTTGAACAATAGTTTATTATAGTCACTTCAAAACAGTTAGCCAGAGCTTCTGCTGAGCAAGGTCACTTTATAATAACATCCTGACAGTTGAACATGCTTATGTTGGAGCTTTAAAAAATGGAGGTGGCCTTTGTAGGTCTTTGTAGTACCAATATTTTGGAGCTACAATATTCTGGTATTCCAGTGTCTTCATGAAACAAGCCTTTATTCCTCAACGCTTTGTAGAATTTTAGTCAGAACAATGATATAGTAGCAGCTTGCCAGATTCTGTTACAAACTTTTGAAGTTCTTAGTGAGATTTTTATTGGAAGTACCATCTCTCTGTAGATGCAAACTAGAATAAGACTGGCTTGACTGGATGAGAATACAGTGGTACCTTGGTTTACCAATGCCTCGGTTAACGTAATTTTTGGTTTACAAAGCAAAACCCATTGAAAATAATGTATCGGTTTACATTTTTCCCTGGGTTTTTTTGGGTTGGGGGGGTGGGGAGTACAAAGAAAGTTTCCCCACGGTGCATTGTGCTGGGAGGTTTGTAGCACCACCCCCATTCCTATGGCAATCCACATTTTGGTTTACGAATTTTCTGCATTCCATAACATCCCGTAGAATGCATTAAATTCATAAATTGAGGTACGCCTGTATTGTTTAATAACTTTTCATCTATGTGCATTTTTATATTCTTAAAGGCTAAAGATTACTTAAAGTTATGTCATTTTTATTTTATAGTGATGTGTTTTAAAGATGTGTTCTCTCCTTTTTGACTTTGATTGAAAAACACTAGGTTTTATAACCTAAAAAGGCTATAAACTCTCATGTTTTAAGAATGTAAGCTAGCGCAATTTGAAACATAATTAGAACATGATTGAAGTTCTGCCTACAACTCAAGTTTCATTTTTTTGAATGTACTTTCGTTTGCAACTTCTAATAGTTGTAAAAATTGGGGATAGCAATCATGTAGCTTTTCATAAGTTGCAATGATGTATTTTTAAGTATTTATGCCTCCAGTTTTTCTCATACTGTAACTGTAAGAATGTTTTCAATACATTTTGATTTGTTACTTTGAAGTGTTTTTGTCCATATGGAATCTTGAAGCAATGTAAAGAAATAAAACTTGTAGATTTAGATAAGCTTATGTTGCCTGGCATCAATGCAGCACTGAAAACACTTACACCTTGATATTCAGATGAATTTTGATATGATTGTCAATTACTATTTGGTTTCATTCTGGAATTAACCTGTAATTGGGAAAAATGCCCGCTGTGATGAACATTGGCTTCTGATTTGTTTCCTGGAAGTCCATAAAGTTCTGTAGGACTCTTAGGTTCAGGTGTCAGTTTATATGACCTGAAAACAGTCTTGAATTAGATTTAGAAGAATTAAGCTTCTCCTTTCATTCTTCTCTACCATAATTGATCAACACTCATACCAGAAAGACATAAACCTTCTTTTGACTCTTTGTTTTTGAAAAGTAGCAAGGGAGCAATTTCTTCTTCCTAGAACAATTTCTTTGAATTAGGAGAATTGTGCTGTGTTGTTACATGAGAAAGGAGACAAGGTTTAATTTGATCAAGAATGGAGATTTGCAAAACAGTGAGGACTAGAATTTCAGTTTCAAGAAAAGCAGTCCTCAAGAAAATATTAATATTAAAGTATTTTATTTAGTATGACTAAACCTAGTCTGTTGTAGAATGACCTATCTGTGTGATTCATTTGCTCCATCTTAGAGCTTTTCCTGATGTTACGTCATCAGATCATAGAATCATACAGTAATTGAGTTGGAAGGGACTTATAAGGCCATTGAGTCCAACCTCCTGCACAGTGCAGGAGTTGACATGACAGATGATTGTCCAATTTTCTCTTGAGTGTCTCCAGCACTGGAGCATTCGCCACCTCCCGAGGTAATTGGTTCAATTGTCATACTGCTCTAACAGTCAAGAAATCATAGGTACAACTCAAGCGTTTTAAAATCCCATTCATTTATTACAATGTGGCATTTTATTAGGCTATTATCATTGGCTGTGTAAGTTGCAATTGGAGTAGGCCCACTTGAAGCAATAGAACTTATGGAGGAGTTGACTCACTAAATCACTATTGATTCAGTGGGCCTATTCTAGTGCATTGTACTATATTAAGCAACAGGATTTTGGTCAGAAGCTCATCTATTCTGATCCTTTTACCTATAAAATGGTTGAACTTTTTGTTTTAATGAAAGCGTGCTCTGTTCATAGGCTTTATGTCTGTAGAATATCTGTGAAAGATGTTATGTCTTCTGGTATAGCTCCATCAGTGTAAATGTAAGTGCTAATTACATAACCGGAAAAAAATCCCACTGGCTTCTTAACCAGTGGCAGTTTGTGGTGGCTAAATTTTATGTCAGTGGAGTTACCCCATCCTAAATATATAATAAGATTCTGGCCACTGAATCAAAATGATCACCATTCTCATGACGCCAGTGTGTATAGTATTATACAGTGATTCTTTGATTTATTTTAGTAACATGATGAGTGTCTTGACTCTGTCTTGAACATGGGACATTATAAACCCCCAGTATTAGTTTTTGAGTGTTGTTGTTGTTCACTGTTTTTCCTCCTCACCTTCGTAATTAAGATGCAGTAATTTTGTAAACCATTTTTAGGGAAATGTTGCACCTTCTGCCTCTTCGTCTGTGGAGCTCCTGCAGGTTCCTCATCATAGTACCGTTGAGGGTTCTTCACTCCACAATGAATCCTATTTGTTGGCTCAGCAGAACGGCAATCTTTCCAGTGGGCTAGGGATTGCTGCACGGTCTGTCACCCCTCAGTTTAAAGGAAAGTCTGCCAATGATGAATTTGAAATACTGATCAGAAATATGGCGCAGGTAAGATCCCGGAATGTGAATGATTTAGTACTTTTAGATTTCTGAAGAAATCAGAATCAGAAGAAATCAGAATGTCTATAGCTTTCACACTCCTCCCCAGTCCGTGTTTGCTGTACTTCCCCCTACCCCCATTACATGGGTTTTCCACCTTTCTTGCATTTTCAGAGTTAACCATGTCTGAACCTTTTCTAATGGTGACCTTAATTAATTCAAGCCCCATTTTACAAACCTATTATAATGTCAGAGCTGGCAACAACTGTAGCTTGTTATCGTTCCAGAACAGATGCTAACTGTAGTTAGTTCTGAAACTGAAAGGAAGGAGAAATTTAGAAAAAAATAGAATTTGGAAGGAGTATCTGAGAAAAATGCAATGGATGTTTGAGCCTCTAAGATGTCCAGATTGTTTCAATATGCTAATCTGCACATCTCTCTGTTACATTGGCAGTGGGGTTATTTGTTGCTTACCTGTTCATGGTGGAATCTATGGTTGGCTTCTACGGATATAGTCTCTTCAATTATTATGGAACCACAATGAATGATTTCTTTCTCCTCTGTTTTCAAGTCCCCTCCATATATCCTTAATAACTTCAGAAAGGAGGGAAACGCTCCACAGCGTGATTTTAGATGGCAAGGATTGTTTTCTGGTTTGTGTGTGTGTTCTCTCATGTTAGCAGTTTTCTGCTAGCATGACATAAGATTTAGAACTTACGTTGTATTACATTAAACATCTGAACATTAAATTTGCATGAACTTTGAATTCATATTGCTTCTGAATTTGTTTCAGGGCCGTCTTGTTGAGACTATAGAACTTGTAAAACCTGTAAGTGGTGGTCTAGGCTTTAGTGTAGTTGGCCTGAAGAGTGAATACAGAGGTGAACTGGGCATATTTGTGCAGGAGATTCAAGATGGAAGCGTGGCACAGAGGCAAGTAATCTCTTTTTGGGGGATGAGAACAAATTATATGATAAATATAGCGCTTAATTAGAGATGGGCGTGAAATGTGGTTTCAGTGTGGCACCCACACAGGTGTTCTGCAGACACTGCATGCTTCCCTGCCTCCTCCAGCCAGTCACTCACTGGCAGCAGCATGTTTCCCTCCCCACCTCCTCTGCTGATTGGCAACAGTGCATTTCCCTCCTCTGCTACCTCTGGGCAATCATCCACTCAGACGAGGAGGCAAGGCGTTGTTTGTATCCATCTCTACACTTAATCACAGTATACCTGTTAGCAGGAGGATTCAACTTATAACTATCCTTATGGATGGTTTCAGTTTTAGCTTTTACTACTGTTGTTTCTTTTGCAAAAACAAGGATTTTGCCTATTTATCAGTCATTTTCTTCATGTATATTTGACATTTTATGTTGTTGTATGCTTGACTACAAGCCAGCAGATGTGGAATAGAGATGGGTAAGAATAAGAAAAATGGTGATTCATTCTGATTTGTGATTTGTCAAGGCTGAATATGAATTTACATTTTTTTCATTTTTTACTTCAAAATCCTATAAAATGGCATCCAAGCACCTAGAGACAACAAATTTGCAGAGAAGTTTCCCCTGGCTCTCCCCTACAATCTGTCCATGTTTGGTGAAGATTGGGGAACCCAAACTGGAAGATATTGTAAAGGAGAGCCATGGGAAGGCTCTCTGTGATTTTGGTGTCTCTAGGTGCCTGTGGTGAACTTTCTTGGGAGGGGGTCTTTGTGAGTGTTTAACTCGGACAGCCGAAACCCAAACTTCACCAAACATGGATGGATTGTAGAGAAGTGTCAGAGGAAGTTTCCCTGGCATTTTGGTGTCTCTGTGTGCTGTGGGGAGCATTTTATAGCCCAACAAATTGATAAATCAAAAATCACAAAAAATTATTGCTTCGTATTCATTGGGGGACATTGATTTGTACGAATACAGATTGACAAATAAGTGATTTTTGAATGAATTTGGTGATTCATTTTTTAATTTCTCTAGGGTGGAATGATTGGCCGTAGAAAGGCTGTCTTTAAAGTATGTCACAGTTTAGAAAACCTATTAACTCCCCCTTCAATTTAACCAATTATTAACCAATATTTAGTTTAGTTTTAGTTTTTGAATCAGCATTTGTATCACAGGGTTATTTTAATTCTTATCTGAAGAAAGGTTGACCCGTCATCCCCCTCCATTGAACTCATACCCATAGTTTGCTCCTATGACAACATATTTGTCTTCACTGCTACCCCCTGGCTTTATGGGTGGTGCTCCAAAACAATGGTTCCCAGTCTTGGGTCCCCATATGTTCCTGGACTACAACTACCAGAAATCCTGGCCAGCACAGCTAATAGTGAAGGCATTTGGGACTTTTAGTCCAAGAACATCGAGGGACCCAAGGTTGGGAACCACTGCTCTAAAAGCTAATGAATTATGTGGATTAGTGAGTATAAATGAATGAATCAAAGAACTTCACAGAGAGATGCTTTGTAATATTCCTCCAAGTAAATAGATATCTAAATTTAAATCAGTCCATTTTAGTAAACTCCAGGTGTGCAGACACATTTCTGATTTAGTTCCTGAATATTTATACAGTGGTGCCTCGCTTAACGGCGATAATCTGTTCCCGGAAAATCGCCATTAAGCGAAAACATCGTAAAGTGAGCTTAAAACTCACTGTCCAGCAAATATCCTCCATACGGTGGCCATTTTCAGTGCCTATATAGCGAGGAATCTGTCCCTAAACACTGCGGGGAACCATTTTATTCACCCAGTGGCCAATTTGAAACCGCCGATCAGCTGTTTAAAAATCATCGTTTTGTGAAGAATCGGTTCCCGAAGCAGGGAACCGATCATCGCAAAGTGAAATTCACCCATTTAGACCATCGTTTTGCAATTGCAATTGTGATTGCAAAAAGATCGTCGTAAAGCGGATTCATCGTAATGCAGGGCAATCGTAAAGCGAGGCACCACTGTATATCACTATAAGCAAAAGCAGACTGTATCTTACTTTTGAGGGAATAAGAAGAAGATTGTTTATTCTTCTGCTGCTACTGTGTTTTTTTCCTTTTTCTGCTATATTTTTGTTGTTATACACCGCCAGAGTACATAGAATCAAAATGTCAGGAAAAAGCTCTTTATTTTGAAGGTTTAAGAGCTAAATGTTAACATTGAGCTGAAGATACAATATCAGGTACCTTACTTCTAAAAGAAGGAAAAATTCAACCTGCAACTTACTTTTCTTCAGTATACTTTAATGAAAGTTGGGAAGAGTTAGATTCTTTATTAGAAACACATCCTTTAATAGAATATTAGCTTCCTTCTTTGAATTTCAAGAAGGAAAATTACTCCACTCACCCAACATTTTGATGAAAGTATTTGGTGAGAAAACTCTATGGCTCAATGAATATTCAGCACTTATACTGGGAACACTTGGTCTGTTAAACAACAGACTTGGAGTCAAGAATAAAGATCCCAAGCTATAGCAGAGAAGGCTGGAAGCAACCAACATGTAATATGCTTAGTCTCGGATGGAGGTGCAGCAAAAAGGAGCTAGCTGTGGGGTAAAGCCAAGAGAGAGTGGCAGTGGGATTAGCTTCAAAGAGAGTTGATCACCAGGGTGCCAAGATAGATGCTCATAGCAGAACTGCAGGGAAAGATTAAAAAAATAGTTGGAAGAAATAGAAAAACAGGATTAAAAGAAACTACTTGGCGAAAACTGTCAAAAATTGTAATACTGGGTGGCAGCACTTATTTTTGTTAATTTGTTTACTTTTCACATGCTTTTAATAGAGATGGAAGGCTGCAGGAAGCAGATCAAATTCTTGCCATTAATGGGCAACCCCTTGATCAGACAATTACACATCAACAGGCTATCGGCATTCTTCAGAAAGCAAAAGATAGTGTCCAGCTGGTTGTGGCCAGGGGCTCCTTGCCTCAGCTCATTAGCCCTATCGTTTCTCGGTCTCCATCAGCTGCTAGTACAATTTCAGCCCATTCCAATCCGGTGAGTACACGAGCACCTTGAAAATGAATTTTTTCTTGTTCAAAGAAGGTCTAAATGCTGCTCTGTGTCCATCCATACAGTTTGAATGCTGCTCTCTTCATCCTTCTTTCTCTTAGGTTACACATGTATGTGAATATCTTTATTAGGGGAGGAGTTGAATTTATTTTGAGATAGCACATCATAATTTTTTTCACACCTATAATGTAGTCTTGAATGAATATTTTCCATTCTGAGATGTGAGGTCTGATTTTTTTCCATGTTAAGAACCAAAGGATGTAAATAGAATTTCTGCTTTCAATTATGAATACAGGATGATAGCAAACTGCCTTTCATATTGAGTCATATCATTGGTCCATCTAGTCCAGTACTGTCAACTCTGTTGGTTGTAATTCTTGAAGATTTGGGGCAGGATTCAGCCTCCGCATTACCTGGAGATCTCTGGCATTTTATGATGGTCTCCTCTTTAAATACTAAGCAGGCCTGGCTCCATTTGATGGTATTTAGAGTGGCGTCACGGTTAGACATGGGGATGAATTAAATATCAATTGTGATTGCATGTAATATTGCTGATTCATACACTGTTTCCATGAAAATAAGACCTAACCTGAAAATAAGCCCTAGTATGATTTTTCAGGCTGCTTGTAATATAAGCCCTACCCCAAAAATAAGCCCCATTAAGTGAAACCCTGCCCTCCACCATTGTTAAGCAACCAGAAGAAAATGACGTGACTGTATTTGAATAAATGTAGATTGTTGTACGTGAAAAAATAAAACATCCTCTGAAAATAAGCCCTAATGTGTTATTTGGAGCAAAAATTAATATAAGGCCCTGTCTTATTTTTGGGGAAACATGGTAGATTATTCATTCCTTTGTATTCGTCAGGTCCAAGAGACCCCAACAATACAAAGGGATGAATATTTACCCATTTTTATTCATCCCTTTATGCAGACTGGCTGTGGGAATGAAAATGGGGTTCGCGGGTTGTTTGGCGGGACATTGACAAGCAGGCTGGCTGTGTGAAGGCAAACCCCGGTTTCAGTTCTTACAGCCAGCCTGCTTGTCAATGTCCCAAAAATCAGCTGATGGTTGGGACACTGACAAGCAGGCTGGCTGTGGGAAGACAAAACCCCCAAGGTCAGTTCTTGCAGCCAGCCTGCTTGTCAATGTCCTGCTGATCAGCTGTTTGGTAGGACATTGTGTTTTAGCGATGAATCTGTGAATATTGATTCATTGCTAACATTTGGCAGTTTGTCACTTAATTCATTTGTCAACTTTGACCAATGATGAATCCTGACAAAGCTCCATTTTTTTGATTTGTCCCCATCTTTAACCATGGTATTTGTTATAAGTTATTTGATATTTGTTATCAGTTTTTATATATGAAGAGTATCTGGTAAGGGAATTGAAGCTACACGTACACTTTTCCTTAGCTACAGCACAGCTGTTGATTCCATCTCTCTTTTCCATAGCTGCTGTAGGGAAGCAGCCAAGCTCATTGACTCATTTGTTGAGCTCTAGAACACATTTTTTTCTCACTAATTGCACTCAGAATGGAGAATTGTCCATATTTCTTCTTTTTTGTCTCCGTGACTCAGAAGATTATTACATGCCTGTACAGAACTGTTATGGAAACTTCTAGACCTCAATAGTCCTACCTCTGAACCAGCACATACGGCTGTGTAGATTTCCCATGTTCTCCCTTAGTTACCCATCTGTGGCACAAGCAGTTGAAACAAAGGATGTTTGACTTAGGTGACATAGACACTGACAGAGGAGAGGTATATAGGTTGAGCAAGTTCACAGATGACCACTTGGATAAGTAGTCTGCTCTTTCCCATGCTTACTGATAGATAAATGTCTGGAATGAATATGCAACAGATAAACACAGCATGTGTAAAAACACAAGCATGGTTGATTTGATTCTATAGCACTGGAAGCACGGAAATTATTCCCTTAGAATTTAATCCACTGCCATTTTTTTCATGGACTTAATTCTCTGTCTCTAGGTCCATTGGCAGCATGTGGAGACCATTGAGTTGGTGAATGATGGATCAGGTTTGGGATTTGGAATTGTGGGTGGAAAATCAACTGGAGTGATCGTTAAAACAATCCTTCCTGGAGGAATAGCTGATCAGGTACACTACCCCAGTGTATTTTTGCACACTGTTTGCAAGACTGAGTGACTCAAAACTGCAATAAGAATATTATCAGCTAAACATCTTTATATTCTTATTTATTTTATTTGTTCAATTTATACCCTGCCCATCTAGACCGAAGTCTACTCTGGGCGGCTAACAACAATATATAAAAGTAAACGCAATTTAAAAGAAAAACAACAGTATTAATATAATTCAAGACAGCAAAGAATAGATTAGCTGATGACAGGAGGGAAGGCCTGCCTAAAGAGCCAGGTCTTATGTTTGCTCTTAAAAACAGACAGGCAGATTTCTGCGGGTAGACTATTTCAGAGGCGAGGGGCCACTGCTGAGAAGGCCTGTTTTTTTGTTCTATCTCTCCAGGCTTTGCCCGGCATTAGGCCCCTCAGCCACCCTTCCTGGCTAGAATGAGTGATTCAGGTAGATCTAGGTGGGAGGAGGTGTTTCGCTAGATATTGAGGTCCTAAAACATTTAGGACTTTATATGTCATCACTAACACTTTGAAATCAATGCAGAAATGAACAGGCAGCCAATGCAAGGCAGCCAGAGTGGGGGAAATATGCTGATATTTTCTCACCCTAGTGAGAAGTTTGGCTGCCACATTCTGCACCATTTGAAGCTTCCACATCAGTCTCAGTTCTTGCCATACAAAGAGGAGGTGCTTAGATTTTTATCTAGGATAACTTTGTTAAAATCTATTTTCTCTCCCTTACTAAAAGACCATACATTACTCTGTAAAACAGATACAGTAATAATAGTTTTTTTATATATACATTGATGATCTGTAATTTAAACAGTGGGCATAGAACTAATATTCTTCATGGTTTCTGCGAATCATACATCTGGATTCTTTTCACACCTGCGTGAATGTTTTCAGAACCTTCCAGAGCCTAAAGAAAGTGTTAGAACACGTTGTTTCCACTGCTCATGTTCCCCACTCTGTATATAATCCTCACTTCCCTTTTTTACTGCCACTGAGAGAACACCTTCAGAGCTTCTCCAGAGCCTTCCTTAACCTTAACAGTTTGTATAGAGTTACTGCTTACTTTGTCCTTGACTGCCTATTTTATGTCCCCAGCAAGCTCATTTAAGAAGTGGGTTAACTACAACAATAAGATCTCCCTCACTGACGGACACTGTAAGTGTCTTTATTGCCTGGATAAGGGGCATTAAACTCAGAACTGTCGGATCTGCCATAAATTCATCAAGGTAGCCATCAGAAACAGGGAGTCCTGTTTGAAATACTAACTTTGGGGAAAACCTTTTGTGAGCCTACCCCAGCCGAGGCTGGCCAGTGTCATGGGCACACCACCTCATTTGGTGCTCTTTCTCAGCGTGCTACACTTGGAGCCTGGGGTGAGGCTAGGGAGAGAGAATGCTACCACTGCAGGCACAGCTGTGGGCATGGTTGAGCTGGAGATAAAAGGCAAACCGGAAGATTAAGAGGGGGAGGAACACTGGTAGGATATGGAAGAGGACTGGGCTGTGCTCGAGGAAGGAGAAGTCTGTGCTGAGCCACTGCCCCAAAGAGGGCTGGCTTCAATGCCTGAAGGAACTGCCAGGGTAGGGTGAAGCTCCAGTAGCCAAGGCACCTGGAAAACTAGAAAGACACCAGGCACCGCTGGGAAGAAAACAGGCAGATGCTTGGTCCCCTGCCCTCCCGCCTTGAGCTCTGATTCTCCAGCTACTACAGTCTGATTTCTACCGCTGTGCCCAGCCATCTCCAGAAGCAGCTTCTGCCTTGTCTCCAGTCATGTCACCCAGGAGGGGATGTGTAGGAATGTTCCTCCTGTCAGGAACCAAGGACTAGGTGTGGCCCCAGAAAGGCAGTGTGCCTCCTGCCTGCAAAGCCCCAGATGGTTTTCCTTAAGAGACATTCTGAAGAAGCTGGGCTTACTAACTTTGAAGTAACTCAGTGCCCATAAAACTGTGTTTCTTGATGGACCAGGGTCTGTGGCTCATTGCAGGAGCTGGACCTAGTTAGAGACTTGCTTGCTACCTACCCAGAGGGGCCTGAGTGTTCAAGGACTTCTTTCATCCTCAGCTTGACAGAGCCTGGGTCTGACAAGAACTGTGTTGCGCCCGACCCAAAGGGGCCCAGTCCTGCTGCCTGTTAGGGCCTGGGTCTGCCACAGCCTGTTTCTATTCAGGGTCAAGCCAGTCCTAATTCTGTCAAAGACTTTTGGTGCAAGTTGTTTTCTTCCCTTCCCCCATTAATAAAGCTTCTTTTTTCTGCAAAGACTCACCCTCTCACCATGCAGGGGGCAGGAGGAGTGGCTCACACCTTTACAAACAGTTGACACTATTGCCAAAGAAACCAGCTTGGTTTCAGAGGTTGTAAGATGCTCTCCAAATGGTTTCTTATGGAGGCACTCCAATCTGACACAACCTCCACAAACACTTTTGAGGACTTATCCACTCGAATAGAACCTAGCCAGCTAACACAAACCCTTGATACCAAGGAAGGGCCCTCAGTCTTAAAGTTAACATCAAAGCCACTACTCTCTGCACAGAAAAAGAGAAAATACCTACAGATTTGGACTCCCAAACTTAAAAGACTAAGACGAGAAATCAAAATGTTATCAGGCACCTGCTCCTAAGGCTTTGACAATTCAGCTGTCATCACGCCATCGCTCATCTCAAAGCAAGAACTAGGAAAGGTACGATAACATTGTTTGCCTGGGCTCAGCATCTGAAGGAGAGATTCCTGTGGATGGGCAGTCTATCCGTGTTTTCATTGATACGGGTTCCCTGCAGCCACCAGTCATAAGGGTGTGAAGTTTCGCAATCAAGAACGCCTGAACAGAAATGCTTGCACAGAGCCTCTGTTTCTAAATCACTGGATTCTAAGTGCTCACATGCGACTTTGCTTCAAAGATTGCCAAAACCAAAGAGGTCTCACCGTAATGACTGCTTATGCTCAGTGCTAAAATAATCTCTATGGAAGAGACCTGACCATCTGTCCCTCTGTGTTGATCACTCCAACTCTGGTCTCCATGTCAAGATTGCTAGAACTATAGGGGCCTCTGTGAAAATCCTGCCACATTGACTGTTTTGCATCTTGGTCAGCCTCAAGATCCCTGATACTGACAACCATACAGAAACACACATCTACCCATCACACTAAGTCACCAACAAAAAAGACGAAATGTGGAGCCTTGCCATTATCAAAGCCTTTGGTTCTAATGGCTTGTCAACAGCACTTCGCCTCTCCTCTTCCTCAGCATTGAGGTTCCTGATGTCATAGCCAGTTAAAGAATGAACAAAAGAAGAACTTACATCTGCTCCCCAGCTGTCTAAGCATTCTCAAAACGGAAGGTCTCAGAATTGATATTTAGAATTTATCTTTGGTACTGAATAAAAACTCTTCTATATTACCTGATCCAACCAAATCATCAAGTGCCAAATATAGTCATTGTATTCTGGAATCTGATTCAACACCACTAAAGCAAAGACTCCAGAGTAAGGAATACAGATGGGCACAAACTGCCACTTCATCCTTTGGACAAACAGGGGTTCAGCACTTTCCAGCCCTGCCTTCTCCACTGTGGCAGTGCCCGGAGGAGGTGGGGCAGGAAAACTGGGTTGCTGCCTCTGAGTGGTGCTCACCGGAGGAGGTGAGGCTGGGAAGTGCTGAACATTTGTTCATCCAAAGGACGAACCATCATGAACCACTGAAGCAGTTGTTTGTACCCATCTATAATAAGAAAACATAAAGCAAAAGTACTTGCCAAACCAGGTTATTTCCAGTTATCTCAGCTTATCTCCATTATTTCCAAACATTGTTCTCCTATGCAAATAGATAAGGAAACCATTAGCAATAGCTCACTCTGTAATGATTCTGACTGTGAAAAGTAATATTTTGACAAATCAACATCCATTTGGTGACAACCCCAGAGCTGGATGTGAGGGGATCCTAACATTCCCTTCCACTCTGAAGACTTCAGATCGTACTCTGATCTAGCATTCTATATGGCCGAATCACCACAACTGGAAATCCATAAGCGTCTCCACCAAGGTCAGATCCTGTCGGTAACCAAATCAATAAAACTGCCTTGTGAGACTTTTGTGAGACATCTTGAGTCCCCTTATTAGCAGAAAGGCGGTCTATCAATAAGACAAACAAACCAGCCCACCCACTCACAACTCCTCCTGTCCATATTGGTATTCTCCTTTCCCTTCTGGATCTGGTCAAGAAATCATGGCAAAGGCAGGCTACTTTGCCCCCAACATCAAAACAAGTTGAAGATCTGGCAAGGAAATCGCCTTCCTCCTGAAACATCTGCAGGCCAATTCAGTCAGCATTGAAGCATCTCAAAGCGCAGATTAAAAGTCTGCCATAATGCAGCTCTGAAAAGGATGGAAGGATGGAAAATGGATATGATCAAGAGGAGGATCTATTCCACTGCTACTCTGGGAATCAGAGTGCAAACTGTCAAGCAGCAATGGGGGCTGTGACATTTACCACGTGGCCCCTGCTTGTTTCACCAAACAACATACATATCCCACCACGTCCTTTACCACACTGCCACCAGTTGATCTCTTTACCATGTTTCCTGTGAAAGACTGAGGTCCATTCAGTACTCAACTTTGAAATAAGAACAAGTTTATTGGTTACAAGATGTTTAAGAATGTGATTAAGAACTATTACACAAAGCATTCAGTATTTTCCTTTATCCTTTTCTTATACTTAACTAACACTCTGACTATTCACTCCCTAAACTCTCTTTCTGCTTCAAAACCCAAACCTTCTATTCAAACCTCTCTCCTCTGTCTCCCTTCCCTCTGTCTTCTACAGCCGCCCTTCTATATACGTAGCTGGATCCACCTCCCAACAGCTCCCTATTGGTTCATGCAAATGTACTACTGAATATGCATGACAGGGTGACCGCTACAGGGGCATACTGTAGATTTCTCTGGGATAAAATCCAAGCTTTCCTTAACATTCTGCAAGAGGATAAAATAAGTGTTCGCTGTAACTTTTCAACAAGAGGCCCTGGCAACTCAAGTGATGCATGCTGCCTGATATTCCACTGACTGTGCTATGGAGTGGCACTCAGGCATTGCGCTCAGTTGAGGTCAGCAGGTATTTTGGGTAATCCAAGATCATGCATAGAGGGCTTTTCATTCAATGGTGAGGGCTTTATTAACAAAACTGATGATATAATGGACATTCTCTATAAGAAAAGAAACATGACTAAATGTATAGATCTTTTTTATCACAATGTCATCAAAGATCTTACCCACCCTATTGGGGACATCCTTACCTTTCATCGTTCACCAGATATCCTTCAGAGAAACATAGCCTTTTCATGCAAGCTCTTCACATTACTTCAATGTGCATAGAAATCCAAATACAGATCCACAAATGTTTCAACACATTAGGATAAGCAATAAAAGCAGCAACTTTGACTTTGCACATGTTGACATCCACAGCCCTCCAACTATCTATGACCTCAGCATCCCTTCTCTAGTGCCATACATCAAAACCTGGTGCACTGTCACAAATGATGGCTGTGTTTTGACCATAGTCAAACATGGCTATGGCATAGAGTGTACATCCCTCTCCCCAAGAGACTGTTTCAGAGCTACAACACCATCTCAAGTTCCGGAAGAAGAGATAGCCAAGGTTCTCCAGAAGGATGTCATACAGAGGGTCCCTCTCAAGAGCTAAGACAGTGGTTTCTACTCCCATTATTTCAAAAAATGATGGGGGCTTGAGGCCCATTCTAGTTTTGAGGGATGTGAACTCATACATAAACACCAAGAAATTTATGATGGTGACACTAGAAACATTGTTTGTTGTGTCTTAGAAAAGGAGACTTGTTTGCTATGATAGACCTCTAGGATATTCAACCCCTGTTTCTGTATCAGCAGCAGACAGGGGGAACTGATGATTAGATACAGGGTGAGGAGCATACGCAGTGGAGATGATGTGTTCTAACACTTTCTTTAGGCTCTGAAAGATTTTGGAGATGTTTGTACAGGTTTGAAAGGAACCCATATGTGTGAATTTACAAATGACCATTCAGAGAAGTACAGTTGCAGGTAATCAGTCTGTCCTTTCACATTGTCACTGTCTTCAGAGTTTCAGTGGCTAGTTCATCATTTGGTGGCTTATATTTTTTGGTCATGAGCCTCTTCATAAAGAATTTGGTTGGTTCCCACACAATAGACTTGCAGTTTGTTGCTGAGGCTGGACTTGGAGCCTTACTAATTTTGTAGAAACTGCTAGAGCTTACAGTGCCTGGCATAGCCTTTGAGAGCACAGTGTCCACAGAGGTGGAAAAGAAGGACTTTGGGGAAGAGTATGCATGGACTAAGTGAAATATAAATACTGCATGTTCAGTGGCCATGTTTGGCTGTATTAGGGCCATAGTAACATTGTTATAACCCGACACACAATATTTTGACACAGTTAATATCCCTGTATAGTGTTAATATCTCACAAGGATATATGTCTGGATCAGTGATAGCTTCTTTTATCTTTTTCTTTTTGTGTTTAATTATTAATTGAGTTCCTCCTAATCTAGCATGGTCGGCTACACAGTGGAGACCACATCTTGAAAATAGGTGATACAGATCTGGCTGGAATGGGCAGTGAGCAAGTAGCGCATGTGCTGAGGCAGTGTGGAAACAGAGTGAAGTTGGTGATAGCCAGAGGACTGATAGAAGAGCCTGCTCCACCAGCTGTTCCTCCAGGCACCCCAGTTCAAACATTCATGATGGATAAGCAGGTAAAGACAGACACCATAGATTTAGGAAATGGTGGTCAGGTAGTGGATTGTGGGGAGGTGTAGTTGCCTTAGTCCAAATATATGTTTAAAAAACATTTTTACCCTATGTTTACGTGTTGTCAAGTCCCTCCTAGTAGTCATTTAAAAAGTCTGTGTGCTGTGGACTCTCAGAAACCAGACATACAAACATGCAAATAATTTCTGACTCACTAACCTCAATGTGCCTCTTGAATGGTGCTTTATCAGCAGCTGAGCAATCAGTGCGTTGTGACACCTCCTACTCACTCTGTGGCAGCCCTTTCAGTCCAGCTGGATTATTAAAACAGTTTTTCCAATATGCCTTCCCCCCCTCCCTCCTGCTTCCCATATTTACCTCATCATCCCCCGGCATCCATCAGCCATCTCCTTTCTGTGCCAGCCGGCACACAGCTGCAGCTCTTCACCTAGGTCAGCTGCCACAACTTCAGCTGCTGCTAGTTTTGCGCCAGCTACCCAGCTGCCGTCTTCACTGCATGTAGAACCCTTCATTTTTGTTTTGCCATTCTGGCTGGCTGTCTTTGCTTTCTGAAAAGTGCTTTCATTTGCCAACTGCCCCCCCCCCAATTCCTCCATGATCTTAGTCAGAAATAATTTCTCTCCATGTTTTTAAAAGATGCTAAGGAATAATATACTGTAGCTAGAATTGTGGGAATTAAAAGTTGACTCGAGGAAGGACATTGGTATATGTAAACAAAGATGTGTCAAAAAATGAAAGTGAGTATGTCTTTCTCCCTTTGTTTAGAGAGAGAGAGAAAAAGTCTACATCAGCTCTAGCAGGAGTCTCAGAAACCTGTATAGATAATATGACAGCTGTTTAGTAGGATGCTTCAGTTAACTTGATTTTATTCAGGAAAATTAGGTGCTGCTTCATGGAATTGTACTGCCTCAAAATATATAGAAACAAATAAGGACATAAGGAAGGGATCAGGCTCAAGGCTTTCAGCCAGTTTATTCCAGCAGCCTCATACTTTTTCATGTTATTTTCTTCACTACTGTTTTCAGGAAGACATTCTCAAGCATGATTTAAGCCATTCTTTCATATCAAATAAATCTTTTTCTGAAAATTGTTCCTTCATTTATAAATAAAATCTCCTTTTCCTTAATTGCTGCCTGATTTTATACAAATAACACATTCTGAGGTAGTGAGTGGAAGGCAAGCTGGTATCTTTGCCTGTTTTGTCTCTCTGGAATATGAATTAAATTGTATTATTTTGTGTTATGGCACTTCTTGAATTACCTTTACTTCAATGGCAGTAAAATTTTGCCTTTATTCATACTCTACCTAGCCTATCTCTTTCTCTTCACAATCCCTCTTGTCTAGCGCAGAGAGTGTTGGGTCCCCAGTTTTTATTTTGCCATTAGAACCATTTCTGAGGGGCATTCCACTCCTAAATGTTCCTACTAATGCAAAGGGGTGTGTGTGTGGACAAGGCAGCATTCACTGCTTCCCTCCCTATCTCCTGCTACAGTGTCACCCTCCAAGTAGAACAGAGAGAACTGAAAGAGAGAATGTTCAGAAATTGCTATCATGCATTCTTAATGCAGTAAAGGTGGTGGTGGTGAAACAGTATTGCTGAAATGTTTCAAATGAAAGATACTTATGGAAACAGGAAGATTAAATAGAGAATATATAAATCACACAAATAAAAGCTTAAACTTTAAGTTGAAAAGCTATTTAAAAACATTTCATTGAACGTTTGTTGTTTACGCACTTACATATCCGTGCAGCCATGATAGAGGGACTTGACATGAAAGCGGTGAGAGCAAAGTCTCACATCCCATGTAAGTCAGTAGAGGTAGGGCCAAATGTAACTTATAATAGATTTTATTCATTGAAAAATCATTTAACTTGATGTGCTGGTCTAAAATAACAGTTCCAGTTGAGGGGGTTAAATCTAATCAAGTTATATAAATGAATCTTATAACTTAAATATGCCTGTGGAAATAGTTTAAAAAAACTACCCCCAAAATGCAAAATATTGTATCACAACTACCAAGGACATCCTTAGCATTTAACTGTTTTTTCCATTAAAAGCAAGATGAAGAAAAAAAATATACTGATCTGAAGCTAAGGTGGCACGTGGGATGGAACAGAGGAAGTGCCTAACCCAAAAATTCAAGGGGGAACCCTCATTGCCCCCTCAGAAACCAGCTATGATGAGAAGCCAAAACCCATCCTCTGTTGCTCTTCTTTTTATGATGCTTTTGACATGGCTTTCTAATAAATCACAGGTTTGGTCCAGCAAAATATTTCTGTAGTTGGATGGGCTCCTTCCATCAGCAAAAGGGTTCAGTTTACTGGCTGAACTTGGGAAAAAGTCATCTGTTTAGCACTGAGGCTTAAGGATTTCCAAACTGCAAGACATTATGCTGTGTAGTAGCAGCACACATCTTTTCTAAGAAAAGTGCATTGAGGATTTGCTATGAAGAGTACTGTTAACTTTTTAAAAGCTTCTTTAGCTGTGTCAGTTACTTTCTGTGTAACCAGAGTTTGGGCCATGTTCTGTTAAGTAATGTTATTTATTTGCAGCTTGTATGCTTGAATATTAGAACTTAGATGGGAGAGGGGTAACACTTTTGTCAGTTCCTTTGAGGGCTATTTTTGTGGAGCATAACTGCATATACTTATTTCTTTCCATAAGCGAGATGAAGAGACACAGAGTGAAAATCTTGCAGATGGAAACACATTTGATGTTGATCTTACAAAAAACATCCAAGGGTTGGGAATAACTATTGCTGGCTATATTGGAGACAAAACCTCAGGTAATATTAGGCTAAGGTCCGTCAAGAATATGTTGATCATTTCTGTCACCCTTGATTCCCAGATCTCTTTTCATTTACTGACTGTTCAGCTGAGCTTTTCAAGCCACAATCTAAAAGTTAAATAATAATAATAATACAGTGATATGCCATATGCAGAGGAAAATGGGGGTGGAAAAAGTATATGTAACATTTAAAGGCTGAAATTCTGTTGTGGAGCTAAGTTTGCCTAACTGGAACTTGTTCACTATTTAACCATAATTAGCAATGGGGGTATTCATATATGAATATGAATATCTTCACGCAGCTGGAGTTAACGAGAGTCCAGCCCCTGCGGCCGGACCATCTACTCACATGTCTGCCACTGGCCTCACTCATCCTTCCAGTCGCTCCCAGAGTGCTGTTCTCTTCCTGGTTATCTAGCCACTCCTGGCAGAGAGAGGGAGGACAATTCTCCCTGCAAGGCTGCCGAGTGGCTAGCTGAGTGGCGCTCCAAAGCGATTGGAAGGAAGAGAGGGGCCGCCAGCAGAGGTGTGAATGTATGGTCTGGCACCAGGGGCTGGACCCTCATTAACTCCAGCTGCATGTGGATATTGGTATTCATATATGAATATGAATTCCCCCATCTCTAGCCATAATCGTTCCAAGGAAGAGATAGTATGCATGAAGCAGTTCCACATGCATATTTCACAACTTGTGCCATGATTTGTACAATTAGTGGCACAATCAGATTGCGCAGTGTGGACTGATGTAATGTTCTGCAAACTTCTGTGGGATAGATATGTTTTTGCAAAGCACTAGTAATTTATTTTGAAATTTTTGCTTTTATGTATGTGTGTGTTAAAACATAAGTTTTCCCATTGCAATATACACCATAAGAAACATGAGGCTCCAGTGTTTACCTACACTGTGGTGTTTCAAATGTAATGCTGCACATAGAATATCACTGAGACTAGTAGAATTTTATTTGGGTTTATTGACACATACCGTAGGGGCTTAACTAGCTCAAATGTTGTTTTAATCATATGATTTTTGCTTTTAATGTGCAGAACCTTCTGGGATTTTTGTAAAGAGTATCACAAAAGGCAGTGCAGTTGAGCAGGATGGTAGAATCCATGTTGGGGACCAAATTATTGCAGTAAGTAATAATGGAAGAGTGCTTTTATAGACTGTTTTTGTTATCCACTCCTATTAATGATAAATTGAAAACCAAATGAAAATGCAATATGTCCAAGAGTTTTTCAGTAGAACTCTCTTCTTCTGACCAATATATGTAACATGTTCTGAAGGTAGGCCTTTGTACCATAATGCTATAAAGTGATCAGATTAATCCCAGTCTTTTAAAATGGATGAAGAAGAGATTCAGGTAATTATGGGTTTGTTAGTGTAATATTTGTTCTAGGTAGATTTGTTGGAAGCATGCTTAATTATCAAATTACCAACCATGCAGAATAAGTCTTGCTAAGGAAGAATCAGCATGGCTTTCGTGAAGGTGTGTCCTGTGGCATCAACATTTTAGAGTTTTTTCAGTGTATGTACAAGAATGTGAATGGGGTGATACAATAAATGTTTACTTGGGCTCTGGAAAACAATTGACAATCCCCCCCTGCAGAGATCCCATGAAAACCTAAAATTCATAGTATAAGAGGAGAGGTCCTCGTAGGTATTAGAACAGTAAAACCTCCAAGGATCTGTGTTTTATCTGTTGTCTTTTAACTTTAAATGATATGGAGTTAGGGGAAACTAATGAGAAGATGAAGTTTGTTTACAATACTAAATTATTTAATATAGATAAAATAAAGACAGAGTGAAGAACTCACCAGTGGTTTTTTTTTCCTAACAGGGTGAATGAGTATTGAAATAGAAATTATAATTTATTGTAAGCAAGTGTAGACATTTGGCAAAAATCGTCTCAGTAATTTTTTCTACCTACATTATTAGACTGTAATCTAGGCTCACCCATTCAAGAATGGCAAGAGTCTTAGAATAGATGCAGTAGACAGTTCAAATTGCAAAATACACTTCCATAGTAAGTATTGACAACTATGAATTTAGATAGATTTTTTTAAAAAAAATTAAACATTCACAAGGTGTATCAGTGTCAACTTGTCATGATGACTGTTAATATTCCTCTGAGAATCAGGTTGTTTTTTTTTAACATTCCTTACAAGTTAATGAATGGTGGCCGAATTGTCCAAAATGAATTGGTTTTTAAAAAGTGCTTTATGATAATCTGAGTATCTCTTATTTCATCAAAAACACTGATTAGCTGACTGGTAAAGCTGGGCCATCTATTCCACCATATTAGAACACAGGTTCACAGCAGAAGTTTTAGAGCATACTGTGGTATCTGAGGATATTTTGATCAGACTTCAGCTTAGAAATTGGAATGGGTAGGTCATGTGACTCTGTATATGCTACCTCCATCATCAGGTCTGGTGATCTGTTCCAAACTCAGAAACCTTTCTACATCAGCTATTACCAATCTGCACTTGGAAAAATGTTTGCTATACTCACATGTGGACAAAAATACAATGGATCTAATCACCTGCTGCTGTTTTCCCTATAATCATTTGATCATTCCCCTTCTCACTGATTATACGAGTTTGTTAAAATGGGGGAGTTGATTAGCACTTAATCATTCATAGTAACAGACATTTTATCCAGCAATAGTAATGAAGTACAGAGCTGGCAGGGCTATGATTTAAAATGTATGTATAGACTGAGTTGTGTCCTCTTCAAGATATTCCATATAAAAAGGATAGTTTGAATAAATCTGCATGTGCTTTTCTGGGATGTAGGTATTCAGAGGTGATCAGTCAACAGGGAAAATGTCTAGATGGCTGGCAACTAAAATAAGAGCTGAGTGTTTCAGGGATGGCTAAGATGAACCTTGGTTCATTTTGAATTACACTTTCTGGAAAGTAACATATATTTATTTCTTTAGGTGGATGGAACAAACCTTCAGGGCTTTACCAACCAGCAAGCAGTGGAGGTTCTGCGGCACACTGGCCAAGCAGTCCAACTTACACTGGTCAGAAGAGGTCCTAAACAGGAAAGTCACATTCAAGCTCATGAAGATGTCAGCGGTGCAGTGGAAAAGGATTTGATTTTCCAAACAATGGATATTGGTATAGGGAAAGGTAACTGGTAAAAGTTTTGGTACAGATTTCTTGAATTTCTCCCCTGTTTTTTAGCTTGTATAACCTGGAGTGTGGTATAACGGATATGATGGACTGGATTTGAATCTCCACTCAGACATGGAGGCTTACTGGGGATATGGAACTGGTAGAGCCATTCCTCAAATACCTCACTTCCCTTGAAAACCTCATTAGGGTTGTTATAAGTTGGTTCTCACTTGACAGTACATAAGATAACAAACCTAGAGGAGATGGCTTATATTTGCCTTCAGAATCTATTACTTAGTGTTTGTGTCTCAAGATTCATACTGGTGTTTCTTATTTAAGGAATTTGTACCCTATTTCAATGGTTGTGTAAGACAAAAATATTTCCCATGCTGTTCAGAGCCAGAGAAAGTCTTAATAGGAAGCTTGCTATTTAAGAGACCAAAAGGCAAAAGCAAAGTGTGCTGCTTATATACCTCATTGTAGCACTTAAAGCACTCTCTGGGTGGTTTACAAGTTAATTATGCAGGCTACACATTGCCCCCCCTCCCCCAGCAAGCTGGGTTCTCATTTTACCAACCTCAGAAGGATAGAAGGCTGAGTCAACCTTGAACCGGCTACCTGGGAATGAACCATGGGTCGTGAGCACAGTTTTGGCTGCAGTACAGCAGTTTAACCACTGCACCATAAGGCTCTTTAGGATTAAAAAGACCTCAGATCTTGAAGACCTGTTCCCATACACAGCAGACTTGATGGATTCATAGGTTGATGTTATAATGCACATTTAAAATGTTTAAGCAGGTTCTGAAAATATTGGCATGGGAACATAAAAGTTATTGCAAGGATTCATTTTGTTGGGCTCTGACCAGTTTCAGGCAACTGAAGTTTGGTGGCAACTGGAAAAACCCAGTATAAAGGATGCATTAACTTGTTTTTAGTTGTTGCTTGATGGTAACGTCTAGCATTATGCTGCTGAGTTTTGGTGAAGCCATTTGCTTTAAATGGTATCTTCCCCCCTGCAGCCTGAAATTTAGTGGTATGATTTCTCCCTTGCAGGCTGAAATGTGGTGGCATGGTTATAAAGAGTGACCTAATAGGGTACAGCAATGAACTTGGAGGCCATATGTGACCCATGACCTATATTCCTGCCTCTGCTATAGCCTACTTGAAAAACACATCCTTCATTTTATTCTGTATGGGCTCAGGAGTTCTTAAATCCATGCAGAGCAGGGGAGAACATGGTCATAGCACAGTGGTGTGCCCAGAAATGCTGAGAGTATTTTTCCTTCTTTTGCAGAAATCAGTGAAAAAGAGCAGAAATCTCCATTACTGTCATGCAGTACCAGTGTGGTTCATATTGGAGAAGAAACTGGTCCACAGCAATCAGGTCTTGATTTGAAGCTTACAGTCTTCACCCTTGTAGAAACATGCTTGCACCTCTCAGCTTTTGCTTTCTTCTTCTTTTCTGGCATGGTTGCCGCTCTTTTGCAAAACATTGTGAAAATGCAGTCTCCCTCATGTATAGCTTTGGCAGGAAAACAGGAGAATTTGAAATAATTTCTTTAATTATGTCTATACAGTAGTATAACCATACATTTTGCAAAAGCATAGCACTGTTTTACCCCTGTAAAGACACAAGTGACCATAAATCTACAGCTGATAGAAAAGTGATAAAATACATGAATAACATAGAATTTGTATGCCTGAAAAAAAGCACCAATCTGTGAGATGTTTTTTTTCTTTTAGGATGATGGAGCCATTCATGGCTCAAATTCAGATCTTTTAATTACTTCTTTTTTAATTCCTAAAACTTTAAAAATTGCTGCTTTTTAAAATAACTTCAGAGAATTCCGAAGATACTATTTGCATAGCACAGCAATCTGACCAATCAGGATGTGTCTTTAGTCAGCCCACAGGGCAGATGTCTGTCACTTTTAACCCTGCCATGGCCTTCAGTATGAAAGAAAGCATTTAATTCCTCCCAGGCCACACATTCTTAGCATCTGCTTGTGGAAATATTTTTAAAGCTGTTTTTTAAAAAAAGAAAATGATATACAGCAGCTTACCCATTTAAGCTGTGAAATGACTGTCCTTTCCTTTCTGGGTTTAAATGATCACAATGCATGTTTTACCTCTTTTACTTATGAGTAGGTTCTTCTTCATGGCCTCTGTGAATGTACACAAATGGGTTGTTCTGCGCCTGCACTGAACGTCTTGGAAGATTCTAGACCTTAAAAGTACAAGATTAGTGGGACGGTCCCCCATGGGGCACATGCTCCGCCCAGCCAAGATTCCCCTCAGTTCCTTTTTTCCGCCGAGCTGTTTGGATCTCTGGAAGAATGGAACAAGTCAATGAGCGATTATATTACTATTTCCTATTCTAATCAACTCTTCAAATTAATCATTTTTATCCATTCCCATTTTTGGCTTCCCATCCCGCCCTCATTCTCTGCAAACCTTTTCCCTCTGGTTTCCCACTCTTTATGGCCTTGCCAGGCCCGTTCAAGTGGTGTGCTGTCTGCTCAAACAAAATACCCCTGACAGGCGTGCACGACCGGTGCCTGTTCTGCTTGGGTGAGCAACATCCAACCCACTCCTGTGCAGCCTGTAAAAAACTGACTAAGCCGGCACTTAAACTTAGACCCCAGAGGTTCCATTCTTACCTTTGGGCGACGGCTATGAATCCTCCCTCAGCTTCTATGGAGACGGCAAAATCTCCAGACCTGTCAGTCAACAGGCAAACTCAATCCCAGCCTGCTCCTGACCCAATGACTCCTTTGCCTCGGTCTAAGGAGAGCTCTGATAAAGCCAGGTTGATGTCGAAACAAAAACTGACATTGGTACCGAAGACCTCGGCTTGAGCCCATTGAAAATTCAATTACAAAAAAAGACTAAATGAGTCCATATCGAGCCTCCACAAACAACTCTACCATCACCAGTTCTGGAGGAATCATTAAGAGAGGCTCACGGCTCAACATGAGAGAGAGAAAAACCGCAACTAACAGTGGCCCAGGCTCCCAGTGTTGACCGGTAGCCTATCTCCCCACACTGGCCTCTCAATGGCTGATGTACCATCCAGACAGGCCTCAGCCCATTCTAGCCCTTCATCAGGGTGGGCAGTTGAGATTCAACTCTCAAGATCGGAGTCTTCACACCACTCTCCCCGAAAACACTGGGAGAAGTGTAAACACATCTCGCCTCCTTGGCATGTCCTTCTGTATGGAGAGTGCTATCATTACCACCAGCTTCCATGGTATCATCACTTTGACATGGATAAAAGATATCAATTTTATGATCCTTATCTGATGGAAGCGCACCCAGAACATTTTTATTACAATGAGCCGAAATGTGTAAGATATGCATTACCATACCAATAAGGATATTCCCTATCACAATCCCCTTCACCACCAAAGTGTCAACACCGCTCGCAGCAATCGATACTGACCTTCCCTCCACCTCCGATCCAACCCAAGCCAACTCTAAAGCATTCGATATTGACATATCACACTGACCATTCTAAATTATCTAGACACTCCTCCAAGGACCAACAATCAGTTCAGGTGGCAACTATATACACAGGTCCCCATCCATTAACTGGATCAGAATCACGTCCATCGTGTTCATCCCTCTGAATCCAACCTCCGCCTACAATTCCTCCCTTACCGAGACCCAAAAACCAATCTCCATCCTCTTCATCAACCTCTGATCAAGAACTGGAGTCGAAATCATCCCAAGAATCACCTCCCAACTTCCCTACTCCTCCCTCTGATGTCAGTGATAATCATCCTCCATCCCCATCAGAAGATTTTACTTCCTTATCAAGTGTGGCTAAATCTCTCCAACTGCATATTGAAGAGCCTCCATCACCTGAGGCAGACATAATCTTTGATGATATCAATCAGGAAAAGAATCCTCCACTCAGTCTTACCTTTATCTCATCTACGTTAAGCTAATGAAAGAAGCATGGGACAAACCACCATCCTCTTTACACATATCAAGATGAACTGAAAATCTCTATAAAACGCGCGGACCTGACTCCAAATTCTTAGCAAAACATCGTACTCCCAATTCAGTAATTGTGGAGTCTAACCAATCCAGGAACCGGAATAAATCTTCAGTGGCCCCAATCAATAAGGAGGGTTGAAAATTGATATTCTTGGCAGAATAATTTATTCACTTCAATCCTTTCTGCTCAGATTTGCTAACTACCAGGCTGCAATGGGGGCTTACCAGTGCCAACTTTGGAATAAAATTATTCCCATACTTGAATCAGTTCCCGAGTCCATTAAGACCAAGGTTATCAACACCCACACTGAAGCCACAGCATTGGCTAACAGCAAAGAATTGTGGCTAGACATACAGCAGACGTGGCATAGAAGACTTGGCATCCCCAATAGCGTTGCGTCAACATGCATGGCTTAGATCCACCGGCCAGTTGAATGATGCAAAGTCAAAGATAGAAGACCTTCCTTTTGATGGCACAGGAATTTTCAACCAAAAGACTGACGAGGTTATGGAAAACCTCCATAAGACAAGGAAAACCGCAAGGATACCAGCACATTGTTTTCAGTGTCAATTTCAGACCAGATTAAACCCATTTTTTTCGTTCCTGGCAGGATATAACTAATGACCAATGGGTCCTTTTTATAATCAAATATGGCTATTTTATTGAATTTGAATCTCTTCCACCCATACGAAAAATTAAAACTACCCCATACACTGTAGTTATTCAAGAAGTTTCTTCACTTCTTCAGAAAAACGCCATAATTAAAGTACCTTCACTTGATCTGTATAATGATTTCTATTCAAGATATTTCACAGTCCCTAAAAAAGATGGAGAACTCCATCCCATCCTTGATCTCAGATACCTCAGCAAATTCATTCGACCCCAAAGATTTAGAATGTTGACGCCAGACACAATTATCCTTCTACTTTCACAGGAAAACTCGTTTGTTGTGATCAACCTACAAGACATTTATTTCCATATTTCGATTCATCCGTCTCATCAAAAATTTCTCAGATTCCAATTCGACGACATCGCATACCAGTTCTGCTCCCTGCAGATCCACAGCACTGAGGACTTTTATGAAGTGCATGGCACCAGTCGCTGCGCATCTTCGACTCCAGGGTATAAACATCTACCCATACATAGACGACTGGCTGATAGTCGTTACATCGTACCACGATGCTGTAAGAGCTACAACCATCGTGCTCGACACACTTCAAAACCTCAGACTCAGGGTGAACTTTAAGAAATCACACCTCAAACCAACACAAACTATCACTTGCATCGGAGCTCTCTTTAACTCCTTGCAAGCCAGGGTGTTCATTCCTCAAGAACGAATTACAATGTTAAAGAAGGCCCTTCGACCCTTGCGTTCTCGAGCTCCCATACCAGCCCATCATGTCTAACACGTCCTCGGGCTCACGGCATCTACAACATCAGTGATTCAACATTCTTGACTCAAAACGAGGTCGCTCCAGTCATGGTACCTGTCACTATACAACCCGATGACAGACCACCCATATATGTGGTTAACAGTGACACCAGAGTTAGCCAAACAACTCACTTGGTGGACATTGATGTCAAACTTCCTTGTCAGACAACCCTTCTTGTTCTTCCTGCTGACAGTGCAAGTTACCACCGATGCCAGCCCATCTGGATGGGGGGCACACTGTCTTCACCACAGGATTCACGTCCTATGAACGAATCAAGAACATTCACTTCACATCAGTCATCTCAAGCTCTTAGCACTTATCAGAGCTTTCCATGCCTTCCTCCCAATCATCGAGGGTCGTGTAGTGCAACTCGCCACGGATAATACCATGGCTGTATATTATATGAACAAGCAGGGAGGCATCCAGTCTTTATCCCTCCTGTACCTCACTATCGACCTGTGGGAATGGTGCTATCAACAGCACATCTTCCCGATAGCAGTCCACATTTCCATGGATGATAACTACATAGCAGTTCACCTCAGCCATATGACATCGAGAACACATGAGTGGTCTTTGAAGAATCAAGCATTCAATCAACTTTGCTGTCGATGGGGAACGCCATCCATAGATGCCTTTGCGTTGAGTGTGAATGCCAAATGCAGTGTATATCACTCTCGAGCTGGAACAGATGAGAACTCCATTGAGGACACATTCATGACAAATTGGGACAAGGGATTACTCTATTCCCACCAATACCACTCATTCAAAGGAAAATCATCAGAATTCACCATTTCCAATTGAATGCGATCCTCCTAGCCCCCTGGTGGCCGAGGCAGCCATGTTCACTCACTTCAGGTCGATGTCGACGGACTCGTTCCGACTCCCTCTGGTTCCCGACCTCCTGACACAGGATGGTAGGATGGTGTACCATCCAGACATCCTGCCATTGAATCTGACAGCTTGGAGGATACTCCCGCCTTGAGAAGAATGTTTTAGATCGAGCTTGAGCCTACAACTCAACTTCTATATGCAAACAAATGGAAAGCTTTTCTTACCTTCACTGAAACAAATAACCTACCTGAAGTACCTGTCTCCTTGACGACACTACCTACCTTTTTACTCCATCTCTCCAAATTTGGACTCTCTCATTCCACCTTAAAGGTCTATATCTCAGCCATCATTGCCCATCAACCGGATAACTCTAAATCAGCAAAACTTCTCTCTCATCATACAATAAAAACAATTCTCAAAGGACTATATAACATTTGTCCACCATGCCAGCGTATTATACCCTGTGACGTTTCACCCAGTGTTCCCAGTTTGTTTTCCCCAAACACAGGTTCACTCTCTGGATACATTTACTCTTTCTTCCACTACCACTAGGGATCTCTTATCCACACTGCACCAATATGTTTTTTTGATGGACTAAGCGTATCAGAAGTGTACTTTCATGAAGTGGCATTCTTCCACTGCCCTCTAGGGACCATGTTTTAATACTAGTTTCTGGAAAGGAAGTCATAGTTTTGAGAGGCAAAACTCTAAAAATCATTCACAAATACAGAAAATATTATCTGTGTTTGGATGTTATTAAGGTGTGAGCTTTGTAACTAAAAGAAGGTTTATTTGCTTCTATCATTCAGTAATAAAATCTAAAGTCTCTTATTATCACTGAAGTAGTTTGGGAAAAGGTATAATGTATATACCAATTAGTATATCAGTAGTTGTTTCTGCTTTATAAAACTAAACGTATTTCAGTGCTGAACAGCATAATGTTGTTAGGCCAATAACACTGAGCAGTAGTAGCATTTCTGAAAACAATACGATCATTGATTGCATTCTGTTGGTTTAAAAAAGGAAGCTGCATTATTGGTGTTTTTTGCTATCATGTAGGTTACAGCTCTAATTTTAAATTCACACAATAGTCAAAAAGGTCTATTTATCTTGTATCATTAAACAAATAACATGAGTAATTATAAAGACCAGTTGGGTCAAAGGAAGACAGATGGTGCATGTAATTTCTGCATTCTTAGGAAGAAGAAGGTGCAGCGGAGGGTAGCCAGAGAAAAACCTAGTTATTCAGGATGTGGGCTGGGTACAATTAGCATTCTTTGGAAGAGAGGAGATGAAAGAAGATCCATGAAGTAATGCAACTCTAAACTGAATAGTCAGGCTAAATGGAAAAAGGTGATGCAGTTTTGATCTGAATAGCAAGATAAGTGTTAAAAGGGTATTTGAATTAGTATTCAGTAGAAATGTTGTATGATGAAAACTAAGAAATTCTGTGGAATAAAATCTCACCATAAACTGATGTGATTTCTTAAGTACTTGATGCATATGGTTAAAAAAAATCTTGAAACAAAATCAAAAAAGTTTGGGATTGTTTTAATATCACAAGCTTTGAGAAAATGCATTACAGTGGTGCCTCGCTAGATGATGATAATCCGTTCCACTGAAATAGCTGTTTAGCGAAATCATTTTTGCTGTTTAGCAAAAAGCAAATTGTTGTCTAGTGAAAATCGGTTTGTGAAGCAGGGACCAAACATTGTCCAGCGAAATTCCTCCATAGGAATCACTGTTTTGCGAATCGCTATTGTGATCGCAAACAGTCAATGTCTAGCAAAAAAACTCATATGGGGTAACTGCCTAGCGAGGCATCACTGTACAGTGTTTCTGCTAGTATTGCAATGTCTGTTTTTCCTATTTTTTTTCTCTTTTAGTAAATCCAGTAAGAGTAGCCCATAAGTATTCATACCGTTCTCTTTTTTTGTTTTTAATGAACTGTGACAATTACTAGAAAGAGTAATTCAGCTGTCCTCCATGGATGAAGAAGTGTCATTGCAAAACAAATGGCAAGCAATTTTGGGGGCAAATTATGAGATTGTGGTAAGTAGACTGATGGCCTTGCTGTGTGCCCCCTCTCCCCCCCCCCCGATTTCTGCATTTGTCTTCTAAAATTTAGGAAAAACTGTTTAGAAGAGAGTAACTCTTGATGATAAACAACACAGTCCAACTGGGTGTGAAAGCTCACCCTGAAGACAGGGTGTAGGTGACAGATCTCTTCATGTCAGGGCTGAGCCAAATTCTTTTGTTGCCTGAGGTAAATGATAAAATGACTGCCCTCTCTTCTTCCTAAAGAAGCCAACTGGACTGGTAATTTTTATCTGACTGCAGTTCTGGTGATGTGACAGCATCCTGCACCACAGCTGTGGGAGTGGGAAGGCTTATAAGGTGCAGAGCAGACTGCTGGGAACAAAGACCCTGGGCTTCCAACAGAGGGGAAAGGCCTAAGGGGTTAACACCACTCAGTACTCACAACACAATTAGTTTAAATTGGCTAACACATTGATTTAAATACGCCTACTCTAGTCATAGTTTACTATGCTAAAGTAAATTGCAACTAGGGTAGGCCCTTTTAAATCAATGAAACTTACAAAGAAGTTCACTCACCAAATTCGCACTGATCCAGAGGTCCTACTGTAGTGAAACTTAATACATTAAATAACAGGATTTTAGCCATACATATTGTTCCTTAGCTTTTAGATCGATATTTTGTAAAGCAGCGTTTTGGCCAAAAGGTTACAGAAAAGATCCAAAATGTTCTCATGCTAAATATGCAGTTAAAGCTCTTTATGAAGCTATCAGTGTACCTCTGGTTGAGGGTGGGCCTTCATCATACATGGGGTGCAGTGGGAGAGGCTACATTTAACAGCTTCCATTCACTGAATAGTACAGCTGTTCCTCCACCTGGAGATTAGTAATTCTCAGAGGATTTTATAGTCAGGAGTGCATCCTGTGCACGCTTAACTGCTCCCAGAGGGTGACAGCCTGTGTGTGATATTGATGTTGAATATGGGAATCCAGAGTTTGTATGTTGCGTTGGAAACATTTCCGTTTCAAAGTACTGTTATTTGTTAGCCATTGTTTTTGGGGCACCCACAAAAGTGACTTCTGGTGTAACAGGAAACACAGAACCTTTGATTTTGTCATTTGTTCCATTTATTTATTTCTCTCTCTCTCTCTCTCTCTCTCTCTCTCTCTCATTCTGACTTGTCTTTCATCTCTGGGGCAGCTGTAGCTCCAGCATCTGTCTCCTTTTGAAAAGGAGAATGGGAAGTTACAGCTGGCTGCTCCCTTTCAGCTTACATTGTGATTCCATCTTGTTTTGATGTGAGGTATCAATGAGCATGGATGATTTTTGAAAGAAGTGAACTTGTACCTTAGAAGGAGAGCATCTGTGGCAAAATGTTATGGTTACTGCTTTTAAATCTACCAATCCTTTGTAGACACATCTGATTGCAATTTTAAAAACAACCCCTTTGTTAGTGTTCTGAAGATCTATTATGATTCTTTCTAGGTGGCTGATGTGAACAAGTTTAGTGAAAGCAGCGGACTGGGGATAAGCTTAGAAGCTACAGTGGGACATCATTACATACGATCTGTTTTGCCTGAAGGGCCAGTTGGACTATGTGGCAAGCTTTTCAGTGGGGATGAGTTACTAGAAGTATGACATAATCTCTGATTTCTTCTTGAGGGAGGTTTCTCCTGGGATTTTTGTTTGTTTGTTTATAATATTAATGCATGTAGAATTCAGCATATTTCGTGAAATGTATTTCACATAGGAGAATAAAAATACTAGGAATGTACTGAAGCTCTTAATAAAGCAGAGATCGAAAAAGTTTCTTTTTTTATCTAAAATGCCCTGAATACTCCAGTCAGTTGAAACAAAGATGTATGGAGTATCCTGAGAGCTATAACCCCCAAAATGTGTTTCCAGCTCTACAGCACACTACAAAGCACTGTAATATTTCACCTTTCAAATCCTATTCATTTGAGTAGTATTTATGCAAAACCACAGTTTTGAATTCAGTGGTTTCCTGGAAAGTTCCTAGTGGATGGTGACATGGTTTTAATCTTTTTACATGTATTTTCCAGAAACTGAACTTGCATTTTTACTTACTTTGCTGCTGCATTTTCTCTGCAGTATATTTAACAGGCTATATATATTTAGTGATGTTAATCTGGATGAACACCATATTTTAATGTATTTCTTATTTCTTTTAAGTGTACATTCTCCTGTTGGCAGGTAAATGGAATATCATTGCTTGGAGAAAATCACAAGGATGTAGTAAATATTTTAAAAGAGCTGCCAATCAAAGTTACAATGGTGTGTTGCCGTGCAGCTCCACCAGCTACTCAATCAGTAATGGACAAGTCTCTGATGACAGAGCAGGTAATACAGGATAAAGGCGCATGACTTGTATGTACACATGTGGTTCTGTTCCAGATATTATCCAACCCTTTGATTACTGGATATGGAATGTGCATTCGGGAGTTCTTTCATAGCTTCTCTGAATTACTCAAGCCCGCCATGTGGGAGCACATGTGGGTAGCACACAGAGTCAGCCTTGAGTCAGCTACCTGACCTGAAAATAGCTTTGGCCAAATAATTGCTGTTACTTTAGAAATACTTGAAACTGTGTTTCAAAGTCAGATGGGCAGATATTGATCAAGAACAATTCTAACATCGTTTTGAGCATACAGAACTAATTGTACCAGTGTTTTGGGATAATCACACTCTCTCCCTCCCCCCATAGTTTTTATGTTTATGAAAAGAGACGGGGATTTTCTGGCATGTTGTCAAGCTGAAATGCTACATAATTAGTAACATAGGAATGAGATTACTGCTTTAAAGCAGTGTGGACACACATACCCAGTTTGGAAATTCCCTCCTATGTATTCAGGCTGCCTCTGGATATTTTGACTGTGTGGGATAAAGGAAATATGAAATATTTGATATCTCCTCCATATATTTACAAAATCTGAAGCAGATTTTTTTCACTTGTACTTTTTTCTGTGTTTTCCCTGTCACTGTCCCCATACATCAAACTTGTGCATCTGACCATGTCAGGCATCATAAAGATGAGTACTGAAGATGAAGAGCAGGTCACTCATGCTTTCTCTGGTCCATTTCCCATTGTTCAAAGCCTTTATTAGGCTCCATTTCATTGTTCATGTACTTGGACATCTTCAGTTAGGCCTCATCTTGAGAACTGTGTCCAGTTCTGGACATTGCACTTCAAAAAGGATGATGACAAATTGGAACAAGTTCAGAGGAAGGCAACAAGGATGATCAGGGGGCTGGAAACCAGGCCCTGTTGAGGGAAGACTGAAAGATCTGGGCATGTTTAGCCTTGCGAAAAGAAGACTGATAGTAATTTTCAAATACTTGAAAGGCTGTCATACAGAGGAGGGACCGGATCTATTCTCAATCATCCTAGTGTGCAGGACACGCAACAATGGGCTCAAGTTACAGGAAGCCAAAGTTTGGTTTAATATCAGGAAAAATGCCCTGTTAGAACAGTATAGCAATGGAACCAAGTACCTTGTGAGGTGGTGAGTGCTCTAACATCGGAGGCATTCAAGAAAAATTTAGACAACCACCTGGCAAATCTGCTTTGATTTGTATTCCTGCATGGAGCAGGGAGTTGGACGCAATGGCCTTATAGGCGCCTATGACACTCCAGTTAAATCAGTAGGATTTGTTGTTGCTTAGTCGTTGTGTCCAACTCTTTGTGACCCCATGGACCAGAGCACGCCAGGCCCTCCCGTCTTCAACTGCCTCCCGGAGTTGGGTCAAATTCATCTTGGTAGCTTTGATGACATTGTCCAACCATCTCGTTCTCTGTTGTCCCCTTCTCCTCTTGCCTTCACACTTTCCCAAAATCAGGGTCTTTTCCAGGGAGTATTCTCTTCTCATGAGATGGCCAAAGTATCCGATCCTCAGCTTCAGGATCTGTCCTTCCATTGATTTCCTTCAGAAAGGTTGATTTCCTTCAGAACGGATAGGTTTGATCTCCTTGCAGTCCAGGGGACTCTCAAGAGTCTCCTCCAGCACCACAATTCAAAAACATCAATTCCTTGGTGGTCAGCCTTCTTTATGGTCCAATGTGTCTCACTTCCATCAGTAGGATTTACACCAAAGCAAATAGGAAAAAAAAGCTGCTTTTATATTCCCCCATAGAACACAAGCTGTCTCCTGGCAGTTTATAATTTAATTATGAAAACTACACATTGCCCCCTACCCCGCAAGCTGGGTACACAATGTACTGACTGAAGAAGGATGGAAGACAGAGTCAGCCTTGAGTCAGCTACCTGACTAGACTCCGTTTGTGAGCAGAGACTTGACTACAATACTGCAGTTTAACCACTGCTCCATGAGGCATTAGATAGAATTTGGCTGGCATTGGCTTGCTGCTTATGTATGTTATGGATTGGGACTATAAAACAAATGCATCTTTGGTACTAAGATATTAAACATTTATTATATTTGACAATTTTGTCTCAGCAGAGTTTCTGATATGGAGTATTTATGACAGTATCTTGTAAATGGTTTCAGCTATTAATGAAAAAATTAATAGCATGGAATGCAATGATGGAGCACTTTTGAGAGTGTGGTGTTGATAGCTGTATTTGTAAAAGTAACTGTGTTTAATTTGCCAGCCTCATATAGACCTCAGTGGACTCCTTGGCTCTTCAGAAACAGATGATGCTCACTTCGAAATGACTTCTATGGGCCAGAATACAGATGAGGTTCAAGGATCATCTTTGGCAATGTGGGAAACAGAAATACAGCAAATTGAACTAGAAAAAGGGAGCATGGGACTAGGGTTTAGTATATTAGATTACCAGGTAATTTCTTAGCTCTTTATTTTACTGTGGAAAAAGCTTTAAAAACAGTGTGAAACCATTGCAGAAAAACAATTTGAAACAAGATATTACTGTCAGATGTGGTACACTGAGTACACAAATTGTCAGTGTAATTTTATGTATTTCATTCATTTCATGTGAATTTTGGTTCTTCATTCTGAACAGCTTTCAGTGTTTTAAATGGAAAAAGAAGTGGGCTTTGTGGAAGGCCATGCTGTACTAACATATCAGCACATTCTTTAAGTCTTTTAATTGAGTTAGGATGGAGCTACAAAGTTCTGGCCAAAATCCAATTGTTATTTCCAGTCAAGTAAACTTACTGAATCAACCACTAAGTGGTAGGTTAGCATTTGAATAAATCCTATTGATTCATTAAGTCTACTTTAGTTGGGAATACTTCTCCATCCATAGGGAGATATATCCATCAAAAGCCCATAAGCAGACCATGTATCTTTCAATGTTTTTGTCATACCAGAGATGTTTCATTTAGATGAAGATAAAGAAGAAACAATCTATTATTTTGGACAGAGTGTATATCATTTGTTGGAGTATTATTTGTGCGGTGCTGAACACAACTGAAATAACTGTAGAGGCTCCTTGCTTGAGAGTTGCTGTGTACATACGTACCCATGTCTCATATAATAATCGTAGGACTGCAGAATTGGAAGGGACCTTATGGATCATTGAATCTATCCACTGTCAAAGAGGCACAGTGGGAAATTGAACTCCCAGCTTCTGGCTCGCAATGGCCTTATAGGCGCCTATGACACTCCAGTTAAATCAGTAGGATTTGTTGTTGCTTAGTCGTTGTGTCCAACTCTTTGTGACCCCATGGACCAGAGCACGCCAGGCCCTCCCGTCTTCAACTGCCTCCCGGAGTTGGGTCAAATTCATCTTGGTAGCTTTGATGACATTGTCCAACCATCTCGTTCTCTGTTGTCCCCTTCTCCTCTTGCCTTCACACTTTCCCAAAATCAGGGTCTTTTCCAGGGAGTATTCTCTTCTCATGAGATGGCCAAAGTATCCGATCCTCAGCTTCAGGATCTGTCCTTCCATTGATTTCCTTCAGAAAGGTTGATTTCCTTCAGAACGGATAGGTTTGATCTCCTTGCAGTCCAGGGGACTCTCAAGAGTCTCCTCCAGCACCACAATTCAAAAACATCAATTCCTTGGTGGTCAGCCTTCTTTATGGTCCAATGTGTCTCACTTCCATCAGTAGGATTTACACCAAAGCAAATAGGAAAAAAAAGCTGCTTTTATATTCCCCCATAGAACACAAGCTGTCTCCTGGCAGTTTATAATTTAATTATGAAAACTACACATTGCCCCCTACCCCGCAAGCTGGGTACACAATGTACTGACTGAAGAAGGATGGAAGACAGAGTCAGCCTTGAGTCAGCTACCTGACTAGACTCCGTTTGTGAGCAGAGACTTGACTACAATACTGCAGTTTAACCACTGCTCCATGAGGCATTAGATAGAATTTGGCTGGCATTGGCTTGCTGCTTATGTATGTTATGGATTGGGACTATAAAACAAATGCATCTTTGGTACTAAGATATTAAACATTTATTATATTTGACAATTTTGTCTCAGCAGAGTTTCTGATATGGAGTATTTATGACAGTATCTTGTAAATGGTTTCAGCTATTAATGAAAAAATTAATAGCATGGAATGCAATGATGGAGCACTTTTGAGAGTGTGGTGTTGATAGCTGTATTTGTAAAAGTAACTGTGTTTAATTTGCCAGCCTCATATAGACCTCAGTGGACTCCTTGGCTCTTCAGAAACAGATGATGCTCACTTCGAAATGACTTCTATGGGCCAGAATACAGATGAGGTTCAAGGATCATCTTTGGCAATGTGGGAAACAGAAATACAGCAAATTGAACTAGAAAAAGGGAGCATGGGACTAGGGTTTAGTATATTAGATTACCAGGTAATTTCTTAGCTCTTTATTTTACTGTGGAAAAAGCTTTAAAAACAGTGTGAAACCATTGCAGAAAAACAATTTGAAACAAGATATTACTGTCAGATGTGGTACACTGAGTACACAAATTGTCAGTGTAATTTTATGTATTTCATTCATTTCATGTGAATTTTGGTTCTTCATTCTGAACAGCTTTCAGTGTTTTAAATGGAAAAAGAAGTGGGCTTTGTGGAAGGCCATGCTGTACTAACATATCAGCACATTTCTTAAGTCTTTTAATTGAGTTAGGATGGAGCTACAAAGTTCTGGCCAAAATCCAATTGTTATTTCCAGTCAAGTAAACTTACTGAATCAACCACTAAGTGGTAGGTTAGCATTTGAATAAATCCTATTGATTCATTAAGTCTACTTTAGTTGGGAATACTTCTCCATCCATAGGGAGATATATCCATCAAAAGCCCATAAGCAGACCATGTATCTTTCAATGTTTTTGTCATACCAGAGATGTTTCATTTAGATGAAGATAAAGAAGAAACAATCTATTATTTTGGACAGAGTGTATATCATTTGTTGGAGTATTATTTGTGCGGTGCTGAACACAACTGAAATAACTGTAGAGGCTCCTTGCTTGAGAGTTGCTGTGTACATACGTACCCATGTCTCATATAATAATCGTAGGACTGCAGAATTGGAAGGGACCTTATGGATCATTGAATCTATCCACTGTCAAAGAGGCACAGTGGGAAATTGAACTCCCAGCTTCTGGCTCCATCGCCAGATACCTAAGCAACTGAGCTAAGACTTCACTATTAGGGCAGATCCATGCAAATTTTGAAAAGTATTTCAGAAAGCCCTTCATAAATCAGGTTTGCATATAATTTACTGTTTTTGATGTCAAGAATACACATGTGACTTGATTTTCTCACCTTTCCTCTCCTTGTATAAGGACCCAGTGGATCCTGCAAATACAGTGATTGTGATCCGCTCTCTAGTTCCTGGGGGTATTGCTGAAGAAGATGGCAGACTTCTCCCAGGAGACAGGCTCATGTTTGTCAATGACATCAACTTGGAAAATGGCAGCCTGGAGGAAGCTGTGCAAGCACTAAAAGGAGCACCAGTGGGAACAGTTAGAATAGGAGTCTGTAAACCATTGCCTGTAAGGATTATACTGTATATGTATTACGTATTTGGATTACATATTTTGCCAAGAACCATCTACTTCATGTGTTTATTCAGCAATTCATGGTTAACAGGGTAGAATAGCTTATTTGATATGATATAATGCAATCTCTGTGTGGTGTTTCATCTGTAATGGTTAAATCATATATGTGCAAACCTTTGATAAAGGTTTAAGCAATGAAGAATGAAGGTTTAAGCAATGAACAACATGTGTCTGTCAGCTAGCCCACGGTGTCTCTCATCTGCAAAAAGGGCTGTGGTTGAGATTAATAAATGTCATTTTGGTTTGAGAATCTTCTATATTGGGCATAGAAATCTGAGAATAAGGGAAGGCTGTTCTCCAAAAATACAGTAGAAAAAAGTTTGGGTTTTTAAAGAAATCATGCCAGTTTTCCTCATAACCTGACATTTATACATGGAATATTCTTGAACTAATTAAGGCCATTAATATATTAATTTTTCATCTGCATCTCTACAGACATACCATTCTTCTATATCCACATAGTAATGTTCTAATTGGTCTTTTTTGTACTTAATTTTTGTATGGGCAGGAAGGGATGGATTTTGCTGCTGTTTTTTTCTTCCTGTTTTCTAAAATGTCTGGAATTGTTGCATTTCTTAAGACAAAATATGATATTTTTAGAACTGATCTAGTTTGGTAGCTTCATCATCATAATGATGATAGTGATGATGTATCATCAAGACAGTGGCTTATAGCTTGATCCACTAGCTAGTTAGGTAGAATTTCCTATGATGAACATAGTTGATGCATCTTATGCCAGATTCATTGTACTGGAGGTAAATGCTGTTGAATTCTCTGGAACATTAGAAAAGCCCTGCTGGACCAGACTAGAGGCCTATCTAGTTCATTATTCTGGTCCCTGTGAAAAGCCCACAAGTAGGGCAAGGGTATGAGAACAATCTCCTGTTTTCTCCAGATTCTCCAGCACCTTGTGCTTGGAGCCACCCTGCTGCTGGTACTGGAGGTAAAATATATTAACTGTGGCCATTGATAGACTTACCTGCTATGATATATTTACAAACAATTGTGCTGGGATACATAAATAAGTAGGATTGACGTCACTGGATCTAAATAAGTTTTAATCCAATTTATTTGGCTTAACTGTATTGGGAATCAGGCTCTTTGCCATAAAGGAAGAAACTAAAGTGGTAAGTAATAAATCATTGCCAGGATAGGAAAAACATTCCAGATTTTCAGGTGCTAGCGTCAGGTATCATCCATGTGCAGGACTGGGGGAGAAAAAATCAAACTCAAGGACACCCATGCCTCAGGAAAAACATTCCAGATTTTCAGGTATCATTCATGTGCAGGACTGGGGGAGAAAAAAAAAAATCAAACTCAAGGACACCCATGCCTCATTTTTCAGATTTTCCTCCCATACTTGTATACTCACCACACTTGGTTAGAACTATAATGGGATTTCCATAGATTGACATTAATTCATCGAAGGTTTACATGACATTACTCACACTGCCTGAACACTGGCCATCTTCGAACTCAAGAGCTTCATTCTTTCTGCAGCTTTCACCAGAAGAGGGCTATGTGTCTGCTAAGGAAGATTCCCTTTTCTACACTGCCCAGTCCTTTGAGGAGGAGGGGCTAGCTGATTCAGCCCTCTTCCACGCTGAGCTGGCTCTGGTTAGTCGCCACTTCCTTACCATGATAATGTGTGAAAAACCTTTTGATCTGTGTCTTGATATTGAACAGCATTTTGTCTGTGAAAGATGTAGGAATGATCTCGGTTTTGTAATATGTAAAAAGATGCAATTAAAAATTGCTTAGGTTTCTTTTCAAGTGCTTAAGATAGACATAGTACTGGTATCAGAAAAAAAAAATATCTGGCAGAAATCCTGTTGCATAGTGTGGAATTTATGGAGGAGCTGACTCACTAACTCTCCATTGATTTAATGGGCCTACTCTAATGTGATTTATTATGCTAATCAGCAGGATTTCTGCCTGTATATGTCAACAAGAAATAATTTAAGCCAATATTATTTTGTCTACAGGAAAAAAAAATATTTTAGGTTATTTTTCAAAGGCCAAGATACATGTGCAGTATGTGTGTGTGTTGTCCCTTTTTAAAGCAAGAAAATTAAGATAACATTCCTGTGATATTTTTAGTGTTTGTTTTTTTAATACATCTGTTTGTTGCCTTTCTGCCCATAGCAATACAGTTTGACAATATAGAGTGCATAACTGTAGCCAGAACTAAGCACTTAGGGGGTTCTAGAGGTTTCCTTGGGGAAGTTAGGTGCCTGTATATCATGATATCATTTAAGTGCAGGATATTTTCATTAGAACATTGTTTTTATCAATCACTTTACTTATCAGTGTGAAGAGTGTTGGTGCTGAAGTTGGCAAATATGTGATTTGTATATATTTCTAAACAAGCCTGTAATGTAAATAGATGTTTAAAGATTTGTCAGATAGCTTTGCATCATGAAAATAATGATGCACTTTCATTGTAAAATAGACTCCCAAATATTTTCCCAGACATGTAAGCTTTGCCTTTCTTCCCATATTTAAAGCATGGAAAAATCAAACTACTGGTGGGTAAATGTATCTCCTTGACTTGAGAAAGTGCTGACTTTTAGAACTTGACTAACACCTCTCCCCCCAACACATACATCTTCATTAATTTTTCCCAACTGTGTTGTTTGTTTCTGGAATGGGCAGGATACTGAAGTTGTGTTCTCTGTAGTAAACTAGCTCTGTGATAGCTACTTACGTATGAGAAACTCTGGGAACTGTTTGTTTAAGTAATATGTAGAATCCTTTACTGGGGCTGTAATTTTGTATTATTTGCACTGGGAGTGAACTCCCTTTGGCTTCAGTACGACATCTAATGTATAAGATTGCAGTCTAAGGCATGAATTTGAATGAGGGTGAATCTCATTTGTAGTAGATACTTTGAAATCAGTTAATTTGGCAACATTCATAGGTGGGCACAAGTAATTGGAAAGTTTTCCCACAAATTAATGGGAGCTGTGCTCTTGCATTGGGTTAGTTCACTCCCAAGAATTTTTTGCTGGAGTTTCCTGGGGGCTTACATTTTCATAGCCACATTTTTTTATACTTGAGATTCTTGATTAGTTAAAACTTGTTTACTAAACATATCATTTGACTACATTTCAGTCTGGCAGGAAGTTTGAGTTCAGATTTTTGGGATAAAATAGGAGTTTCACTCTTGACTTCAGTAGGATCAGGATTTCATCCCTGCTGTTTGCATTGTAAACTATTGAAAGAAAGAACAGATAAGATAAATCCTGAAATAAAATTGTAATTAATAATTATAATCATCATATTCATAATTAATAATTATATGTCATACTGATTAACGTTTGTTAACTAGCAGCCATTACCGGTGATGAGCTTTATATTTTTGATGAAATATAGTAATTTCTTTTTTTGTAAAGTCATATCTCAGTAAAATACTTGGGGTTTTAGATATGTAAATTCCTTAAATATGTATCAAAATATATATATCTGCTTAGAGGAACATTAAAAATGCACAGTATTAAGCAGTCATTACATCATTATTTTCTTCCAAGTATCAAACACTACCTATAAGATATACTTGAAATTCAGTTCTAAATTACAGTCTCAAATAACTCTTCTGTAGCATCGAATTAGCAGTTATTAAGGCATAGTTGAAGATTAAAAAAACCTTGTTGCATTCAGTTATATTGTGTGGGAGAAATGGAAAAGAAAGGTATCGTGAAGCCAAGTAGCACACAGCATTTCACCACAGATGCAAATTTTTGAGGCTTATGAGATACTGAGGTAGCAGATAGCTTGTCTGATTAAATTGCCTTTGCCATTAGGTGGACTCAAGTGAGGCAGATCTAGTGGAAGAATCCACCTTTGAATCACAGTATTCCCCAGACAATGATGGTACGTTCCAGTCTTCAGTTCCAGTTCTGCCTGGCAGTGCCTGTACCGACGATCTGAAGCATAACCCCTCACTACCCTTTTCGACTCCCAAGGTAAAAATTGAAAACAGAGCATGATTTGATTGATGGCAGTAAATCAACTTTGAACGTGAAAATGTTTGTCTCGCTTCTGTATTGCATGTTGAGTTGCTGATGTTGCCATGGATAGTTCCATCTGTTGTAGGTTGTTATTAGATTAAAGAGCAATTTCATTTAGGTAGTCATGTTGACTGAATACCTTTCAGACTTCCAAAAATGAAATGTTCAGCAAACTTAAGTCACACGTTGCATTTGTAGAGAGACAGTATAATTGTAAGCTGCTCTGTTTATGAAAGGGTCCAAATTCTTTAAGGTATATTTTCATTAAAAACATGAAATATTTTTCCGTGCATTACAGTTTAGGCATAGTCATTTTCTCAGTTCTCTTAACAGCAAGCAGTTAGTTATTACGACTTGTTGGCAAATAAGCTCTGAGAAAGATGTTAAAATTAAATTGGAATGAAAATAGCATCAACATTCTGAAGTTTTATTAAGTTAATTAACACATTTTTCTAAAATATATGAACCTTGTATGCGTATGCCATGCCATTCTTTAGCTCAATGGTGTCTTTTACTTTTTCTCATGTATTAGTTTTCCCCCTTGATTTCTTTGCAAATGGTTAATTGTTTTAAAAGCTTGAATCATTCTGTCTGTTTATTTTAATACTCATGGTAGGTCTGGCATCATCACTGCTGCTGATGTTCATTCATTTTCTTAGTGGTTTGCTGTGTACATTCTTGAAAAGAGATGCTTCTCCTTCTCTGACACCTGTGATTCCCCAGCTAGTTCTGTCCCATCTCGGATGCATTTCAGGCTTGCTGGCCATGAGGCTGACAGCCAGAGTTTATCTCCTAATGGAATTTTCTAATCCACAACAGAATGTACCTATGTTTGCCAGTGAGACAGATTGCATTGTTTAACTGAGTAATTGTTACTTAAAGGGATTAGATGCAAGGCATACTGGGAAATGTACATTCTGCAGCACATCTGGTTTTACAGAAGATGTCACATTGGCATTCGTCAAGGCATTCTCTCTCATCTCTCTATCTTAGATAATGAAAATAAAGTGGACATGTTCAGAATTGGTAATACTTCATTTTTGCTCAGATAAAGATAGTAACACAAAGAGGAAATCTATGCAGTGCTACAGGACGAAAGGCAGAAGTTTATATATGCACAGTGGCCATGTTTAGGGGTAGGTGGGAACCAGGTAAAATGGAATGTAGAAGACAGTGCAGGTGGCATAGCTGTTATTCTGTGTTCTTTTATATCTGCAGGGTGAGGCTTCCTTATTGTTTTGTAGAAATGAAAGAATATATGAAATCAGGAATTTGTTTTTGGTAAGGGGGGGCTTCTTTTCAAACAGCACAATGTAGATTGTCACTATATAGTTTCTTGTTTGAAAAAGTGCAGTATCAGAAACGTATGCTCCGAAGCAAATTTTAGAAAATTAAAGGGCTTTTAAAGAAAAAGATTTACAGAATCAAAAACACTAAACAAAATCCATGTATTATTTGAGGCAAATCCTGTTCATTTCAGTTGAAATTATTTTTTAGGAAAAAGGGTTTTGCGTTAGTTTATAAACATAAGGATTAGACTGAAATATATCACTCTGCTAATGGAGTTGCTTTCAACAAGCATCCTCCCACAGGCCCCTGTGCACCCTCAAAGTCCACTGCAAAGAGCTGGGAGATATTTCAGGACAGAGCTTTGGCAGATCCAGTGGATTGTTGGACAGGGAAGCAAAGTGGAAGAAAGTCTTGTGTGCTAACAGATTTGACTAGCATGGATAGATTTAATCTACCATTATCTATAGTCTTGCACGATTTAGAATTCATTTACTCTTGAATTTGTAGGCTTTATAATCCTTTATAATGCTAAATAGTTGAGTATTTGGTTGAAATTGATTTCATGGCATATTATATATATAATATATAATTATATATTACAGTATTATTTGAATTATAATTATATGTCTTTTTAATTAAAATCAGATTCTTCAGGTATTTTTATACTTATCTTTATGGCAGTGAGACTTCGCAATAAAAAAGCATTCAAAGTATCTACATTACTTCTTGGCCTTTTGGCTAAAATGGGATTTTTAAAAGATTCAGGGTGAAATCCAGTGTTACTCTCAACTAGAGTGCAACTATTAAAATGATGAAGATTTCTTAATCACAAGTAACACAAATTCTGTTGATTCCATAAAGTTTACTTTAGTTGGGACTACTGTAATTATAGATCTAGTCCGGATTCTTTCACTTTCTTGGTTGGTGCTGGCTTCAGAGAATGATGTGCACTTGCTGGAAATGTGTTACTAGCAGCATACTGTGAAGATTTTATAATGCTCCATGTTCGCTCCCCCCATCCATTATATTAGTCACTTCATTTAATCTTATTTTATTTTAATGAAGTCAGTGACCCAGGTTATTTAAACAAACATTCCACAAATTACAATGACAGGAATAACGTGCATATGACATTTGAATAATAGTTTCAAAGTTTCTGCAATTATTCTTGTTTGGTAGACCATTTGCAAGGAACATTCAGATGTCTCAGTCAATTACCACCAGGTATCAGAACAAAATCTATACGCCATGGATCTAATGCAAAGAGGATTGGAGAGCAAATCTTCTTCAGATGTGTGTATGGAAAAGCCTCCTGAACCTTTTCTTGTGAACCCAACGGCACATTCTTCTAAGACACAAGTTGAACATGAAAACCCAAGTAATTGGAGAGAGTCTCAGTTAACATCTGAAGTATCACACAGTACACAGTTAACTTCCAGACTGCCATCTGATTCCACTGGGAAAGTAAGAATTGTATTCCATATACAGTACTTGTGAAATGATTGTAATAGGTTCACTGTTCACAAAAAGGGAGAGTTTATAATCTTCCAGAGATTAATATAGTTCCATGAATTTCAGAATTCTCAAGTTGTCCCTATAAAACCTACTGACCTGCCTATACAAAGAAATGGCAGGGCTGACTCTATTTCTCTTTAAATTAGTTAAATTAACATGATACAAGTGCTTCCCAAGTGTTTCTTTTCCTGATCATTCAGCAGCACAGAGCCTTTTGTTTAGGAAAAACCCAATGAATTTGAAATGAAAGGTGAGTGTATAGATTGCAGGCGATGCTCATAGGTTTATTCCAAAATATTGTGCTATACTGTAGTTGTGGATCTAAAATGTACACTAGGAGTAAGCAGCAAGCAGCCTATGGGTGGTACTTCCACTGCAGTTTTATTGTGAAACAAGGTATATGGGGAAAGTGAAACTGAGATTTCCAAATAAAAATATTTTCCCCATTGCAGTTGCCATGGATCACTGCATTTTGGGAGCATTTGGTGGTAACAGAGGTTAAGTCTGCTATTGAGTCCTGGGGGCTAGAATTGGTCTCCAGACCTGTCAGAGTTGCCAGACCCTCATCCACAACATGCCACATGCTTTCCAGGAAAACTGTTCTACCCGGTAGTCAACTTTCCAAATAACTCTCAGTTGGTAATGTGGTTTTTGACATAGGGATACAAGACTTACCTTTCATATTTGCAGTTTCAGCTAACATGAAAAAAAAGGCAAAATGGGGTAGTTACCTACCTAGAAAGAGTACTTTGTGGGTCTAAATTGTTATAGAATCTCTTCTACCCACCCCCTCGCTCTGTTTCTGCCTGCTTTATAGGAATCATTAGTGTTTTACTACAATGGGTATTATGCTTTACCAGTTACTTGCTACCTCCGCCATTCCCATCTTTGGCTCTGTGTGGTTAATTTAAAGAGAAATAAAAACTTTGTAAACATACTAGAAATGTGGGTATTCTTATTACACAAATGCGTAGCAGATTGAAAACCATCTCTAATTTGTAAATTACAGAAAATCCAATAATGTTCTCCAGATACTTGAAGCTATGAACTGACACAGTTTTCTTATCAGGATCAAGTATTCTCGATGGAAAATAATAGTGTAACACACACTGGGAGGTGTTCTACAACCCCAAACGCAAGCAAGAGCAAGTTTGAGAGGACTATTACTATTACAAAAGGCAATTCAAGTTTAGGTAGTGTATTTATCTTTACATATTTTTGTTTCAGTTTTGCATAATTTGCTCCCCAAAGAGATTTAAGTGAAGACAGCATTTACTTCATTTCAGTTGAAAAGCACAGCTTTTCATATGTTGCAATAATTAAAATTCTTCATATCATTTAGAAGTAGCAGCAGCTCTTCCTTTGATCTCAGGTAGCAGCTCTATATAGGTTTATGCTATATTTTGGCCACAATATTATCTATAATCTTACCAGACCAATGCTCTCAAAGTCGCCCATTGCTGCTGCTGGTAGCAACTAAATATGGTGTCATTTTCCAGATAGCTTTTAAAACGGTTCTTGGAATTAGTTAATGGAATATATTGCTTTCACCTTTTACTAAATAATTTTACTAAATACAAATGCTGTCACAATCTGGAAAGTGACTAAGGTCTCATAAGACTATCCAGTCTCCCTCATAATGCCTCATTAAGATTGCAGTAATGTGTCCTCTTGCCTGTTCCATTTAGTTCAGTGAAGCTTGGATTCTGAGCAGATTTGTAGAGGCTTGCTCTTTAAAAGTACATTTTTCTCAGTATTTCAGTGCAGTATCTAAGAGCCCCAAGGTCAGTGAAGGATTTTAACCTGTATTTTGGGTAATGGCTCCCAAGCAATAGAAGAGTCATGGCTGTGTTTCAGTCTGTGAAGAAATATCACCAGCCAATTTCGATTGAAACTGTAATAATTACTCTGTCCCTGATAACACTAATAAGAAGGTAATTTGGTTTTATGGTATTGGAAAAGAAAAACTTTTGGAAATTATCTAACTTTCAAGTTACTTAGTCTATAATCTTGTCATGGCCCAGAGTTTATTCTTATATTTCATGTTATAGTTGCCACAAATTGATCTTGTTTATTTTTCTTCAAGGAATGACAGTAAGTTCCAATAAAGATGGCTCAGGGATGATAGTCCGTAGCATCATCCATGGTGGTTCCATTAGTCGAGATGGACGGATTGGTGTGGGGGACTGCATATTGTCTATCAATGAAGAATCCACCACTAATTTAACGAATGCACAAGCAAGAGCCATGCTGAGAAGGCATTCTCTTATTGGACCAGATATAAAGTACGTACGGTTAAATGAAAACTGTTTGGGTTGGCTTTTGGGAACAGGGCTGTGGTAATTCTTTGTATTCCTTTGCTTTTCAAAGCTCAACATCAAACACAGGATTTCACATGAACAGAATGAGTTCAGATTGCCATAAAGAAGATTATAATTCTCAAGCAATTTATAGATTTATAAGGAGCATTTCAAGATTATTGTGGAATACAGTGATACCTCGACTTACAAACTTAATCCGTATTGGAACGGTGTTCGTAAATCGAAATGTTCGTAAGTCGAAACATTAATCCGTTCCAGCATTTAAAAAAAAACCAAGAATAAAAATAAACAGAGCAAGTCCCACGCTGGGACTGCAAAAAAGTTTAAAAGGCCAGCTCAAGCCTCCCAGCGCTCTGCTGCCTCCGCCGTGGCCAGGGGCGAACAGCCAAGCACCTGGCCAGCTCAAGCCTCCTGGCACTCTGCTGCAGCCGGGACCAAGCGGCTAAGTGCCTGGCTAGCTCAAGCCTCCCGGCACTGGGCTACTACTGCCTCCCCCGCTGCCACCAGAGCACCCAGGAGGCTGAAGCCTCCTGGCTCTGGGCTACCCCCACTGCATCCCTTTCCCTAGCTGTTGGGGCTAGGGAAGCAGCCTCTTCACCACCAACAGTTAGTACAGTAAATTCAAATTTCCCACCCTTTCCCCCTGCCTTTTTGTGTTCGTAAGTTGAAGCTCCGTTCGCAAGTCAAAACAAAATTTTGCAAATGGAGCGGTTCGTAAGTAGAAATGTTCGTAGGTAGGGACGTTCGTAAGTCAAGGTTCCACTGTATATCAAAATGAATAGATACTCCAGCCCGTTGATCAGTTGCAGCCAGAAGTGCTTTGATTTGTGCATGGAACTTGACAATCTGTGCACTACACCGAAGGAATTAACATTCTCTGCACATCCCCTAGACAACTGAATGTCCATAATTAAGAACTAAAACATTCTGATTGTGATTTTCTTTACAGTGATATTCTTACTGTTATATTAAATCCTGAAATGCCTTTCTCAGAAGGAAAATCTTAAAAATCGAAGCATTGTAACGTGCCTCTGCCACAGCAAAACTGCATTCCTTTTCATTTTGAATGAACTTTAGATACAAAATGGTATTTTAAGCAAATGCATATATTAATATAATAAAGAGATACACAACTTGTATATTTGAAGGGTGCATGGAGCTGGTGGCTCACTGCAAGGAGCAGAGGCAGAGTTTGGAAAAGTCAGGGGATAAGAGGGCAGGTCCTCTTATGGGTTGGGAATTGGTTGAGAACCAGGAAACAGAGAGCAGGTGTTGATGGACGATTTTCACAATGGAGAGAGGTGAAAAGTGGTGTACCCCAGGAATCTGTCCTGGTTTTCAACTGTTCATAAATGACCTGGAGACAGGAATAAGCAGTGAGGTGGACAAGTTTGCAGATGACACAAAATTTTGCTGGATAGTGAAGACCAGAAGGGATTGTGAAGGGCTCCAGAAGGATCTCTCCAAACTGGGAGAATGGACGCCAAAATGGCAAACTCATTTCAAAATAGGAAAATGTAAAGTAATGCACATTGAGGTGAAAAATCAAAACTTTTGTTATCATTTAATGGGTTTTGAGCTGTCCGTGATGGATCAGAAAAGAGATCTTGGTGTCCTGGTGGACAGCTTGATGAAAGTGTCAACTCATTGTCCGGTGGCAGTGAAGAAGGCCAATTCCATGCTAGGTTTCATTAAAAAGGGGAATTAAAATAAAACAGCCAACATTATAATGCCATTGCACAAAACGCTGGTAAGGCCGCACCTGGAGTATTGCATACAGTTCTGGTCACCGCACCTCAAAAAAGACATTGTGGAACTGGAAAAGGTGTAGAAGAGAGTGACTAAAATGATGACTGGGCTAGGGCACCTCCCTCATGAGGAAAGGCTACAGCGTTTGGGCCTCTTTAGTCTGGAGAAAAGGCACCTGAAAGGGGACATGATTGAGACGTATAAAATTATGCAGGGAGTGGATAAAGTGGATAGAGGGAATCTCTTTTTCCTCTCATGCAATACCAGAACCAGGGGGCATCCACTCCAATTGAGTGTTGGGGGAATGAGAACAGATAAAAGAAAATATTTCTTTACCTGTTGTGTTGTTAGCCTATGGACCTCCTTGCCACAGGATGTGGTTATGGCATCTGGCCTAGATGCCTTTAAAAGGGGATTGGACAGATTTCTGGAGGAAAAGGCCATGATGGAGATGTGTAATCTCCAGGCTGAGAAGAAAGGTACCTCTAAATGCCAGATGCACGGGGGGGGGGGTATTGGGAGACAGGTATCTAGTTGTCTCATGTGCTCCCAGAGGCGTCTGGTGGGTCCCCTGTGAGATACAGGAAGTTGAACCAGATGGGCCCTTGGTCTGATTCAGCAGGGGTCACCTTATGTTCTTATTTCTTTGGATTGCAGCTCTCAGCATTGCCCCTGGCAAGAGAATTAGAAGAGGTTCTGTCGTTCCCCCCCCCCCCCAAAAAATAACAGTTTCTTAGAGGCTTTGTTTGCTATCACTTCTGGAAAAACAGGTTGCTTTGCTCTCATTCCCAATTCTTTTTCTTTAATATTTAATCAAGACTATATACTTATCCCTTTCGGAAAGGAGACCAGGTATTTAACCACTGGATGGTAATGACCCCTTTTTCCTCTGCTCCACTGCCTGGTCTCTATACTTCCTTGTGAGGCCAAAAGTGTGCATGCAGCTTTCTCCTCCTCCTGTGAATCCAGCATGGTCACCAGGGACCTGAATGGCACAGAGTTTCAGTGAGCAGAAAGAAATGCCTTGTTTATTTGCAATATGCTCTAAGTAACAGTGAAAACATTTGTTCAAAAAGATGATCTAGGAAAACTGTTGGCATCTTTTTTTATTGCATGTCATTTTCTTTGAGGAATATTTCAGCAGTGTAAAAAGGGTTTATTGCAGAAACTATGACACATGATGTTAAGACGGAAGAAAACTGCTCTAACATTTCAGTACATCTTTGACAAATATCGGGAAAAACATTAACTTTTATTTAACTTCATCTTTTCTGGAAATAGAGAGAGGGCAGATTGTCTAAAACATAAACATAGAAATTAAAAAGTTTATTAAAATGGTCTGTTAAGCTTTTGTTTGTTGTAAATAATTTTGTAAGATGCTGCATTATTTTTAGCACATATTAGGAATGTAAAATATAGTGTTTTTTAAAGGCCACTTACAGTAAATAGGATTGATTTACTGCTGCTTAGTACCTTTGTTCCCATTGTTTTGAAGTGCATAAGTTTTCTTTCTGATGTTAACAGACCCAGTACAGGAAGGCAGCAGTTTGTTTCAGAGCTCTCACTTTGTCATTGGCCAAAATCCTGTTGCTTAACATAGTAAATTGCAGAAAATAAGTCCATTTGAATCAATGGAACTTGAAGAGGAGTTGACTCACCAAATCCTCAGTGATGCAGTGAACCTACTCTAGTCCAATTTATTGTGCTAAGCAATAGAACTTTGGCCATTAAGTCAGCATAGCCTTCTTCCTAAGAGGTATCCTTAGGATTGTGACATATGCATTAAGTAGAGCAAATATTTTTATTCTCCCTGTGCGCATCTATCTGTCTCTCTGTGCACAGAAAAATGTACTTTTTTTCCTAAGCAAAAAAAGCAGATGTGGAGCCTTACCAAAATGTGTGGTTTCCTTTCTCACCTTACAATTCTATAATAATATTTAGGGCTTTGCTTTTTAGGAGCAGTTGTAACAGCTGCCTGTAACATCTGCCAGATAATTACTGAGCTGATTCAGAATTCACCTGCCTTAACTGAACGTGTGGCGATGAATCTCTGATCAAGGAATAAAAGATTGATTGCAGTTCTATTTTTCCTGCTTGTTAATAATCAACGCTATACACTCCAATAAAGAGCAGATGCTTCCTGATGGGAGGTGTGGAAAGAAATGGAGGTGGAGAGGGGGGAAAATAGGAGTGAGCACTTTTAACTACATGTGTGTACATCTCGCATTCAGCACAAGTCACTGACATTTGTTAACACTATTGTAAAAAAAATGCTGCGTCGTATGCTTCACATTCTAGATCTTCTCCAACACCTGCTGATGATCAGGCCCCCTTTTATGTGTGAGTATTGGTGATTCAAAAGCTTGTTATAGCTGTATGTTCCAACCTGTCTGTTAAACCATTCATGCTTTCATAACATCTAAAGTAGCCGGGATATATCCAGATATAGGTACAGCACTACATGTATATTTACAGACGCATACAGATGTTTTCATCCACTTAAAGTGTATTATTAAAATCGAGTAACTGATTAATTACTCAAATTTAACATAAGAATAATATTTTGGAAGTGTTTAATAAAAATGACCTTTTTTGAAGCAATTTGTTAAAATGAGATATGTGTTTATGAGATCTAGTTTGCTTCCTCCCGCCCCCAAAGATAGCCTTTCTCAGGCATGTTGGTATGCCAGCTCTCAGTTATAAATCACCTCTTGCACATACACAGGCCATGGTCTAAGAACACATGATGGGGCAAATGTACTGAAGCTAAGTACATGTGGCTCAGGTCAGTTTTTGGACAGGAGGCTGTCTGAGAGCAAGTTCTGTACTTGAAGAAAGGGCAGATATAAATCTGCCAAGAAACTTTAAGTCTAAATCCATTGTTATGTGGCGGCACAAGCATTCGTCTCCTAAAAATCAGCTCTGGGATGTTCCCTGGCCCTCTAGAGCCATTTTGTAAGGTGCATGATGGGCTGCAGTGACAAGGGGTGATGGCTGTCCTCCATCTTCTGGATTCTACTCTCCTACAAGTGGATGTCTGTTGTTAGATCCTGTCTTTAAATAGAGCTTATCATTTTCTGATTTAAAACCAAAGGAACACTTCATTTTCAAAAACGGATATTTAGATGTATTTGTTCAATGAGTTTCCAGAAAATGGTCAGTCTTTTTCCTTTCAGCTATCAAGACAGCCTAGTTAAAATTTCTTTTTGCTACATTTTTGGAATATGCTAAAGTGGTGTCATCTATTCAGAATATATTCCTAAAGTGCTAGTCACTGATATGCTCATGGATGTACTGATATCTGGATTAATCTCTGTCATATTTTCTGTGTCACTAATGTTTATTTTCTCCGTTATGTAACAAATGAATCCACTTCATTATCATGCCTGCTAACTATATTGTAACCTGTCCTGACTGTGACCGCAGATTTTCTTTATTCAGTGTTTGTCCTTTCTGAATATATACAGATGGTTTCCTGTGTGGCTATTGAATCAAGCATACAGCTTATTTCCATTTGCATTGCATGCTGCATCATGTTTACACCTCTGTCTTCTGATTTCAGTTGGTGCAGGATATGAATCCATTTTTACTTTGCTGCTGAGTGTGGAGCAAATGTGCAATCAGTTTGGTCCATTACAGTTTTTAGATTTGCAGTTGGTCATGGAAGCTGTAAATATTAAAGTGCTGGGGCTTGTGAACTACCTCTCATTTTAATAAATCCGTATTCCTGAATTCTGCTTTAACCAGAGACAAATGCTGTGCAATTCAGAATTGTATAACTGTCTAAATCTCTTGCTATATTCTGTCTAATTTGGAAATTGTGATGACCATCCAAAGCTCTTGGGCATAGTGCATTGACTTTCGTTTCTTAGCTAAGGGCTACAATCTTGTTTGTTTTGACTTGCTTAAAGCAGTGCTAGATTTTTATCAATCTGGTGCTATTTATTAATTTATCTCTATTTTTAAAAATCAGAATCCACATTTTTTTGCATGCAGTCTTCTTCTGGTGTTTTTTCCACCTTTGGACAATGATGCTGTTTTCTCAATGCTTACCACTATCTCTTTTATTACTCCAATCATTATTGCTTCTCCTTCTTTTAACAATCATCCATTTAAGGAATAACAAAAATGGGATGGTATGTTAGCTTGAATTGGTGTCTGCAAATTATGTAATAGGTAGTTTCATCCCAGTTGCGCTGATATAGCTACAAAGAATTAATAGCTGGGCTAAGTAATGAGACATCAGACCTTATATTTTAAAGATGCATGTTTCACGCTTACATATTGTCTTTTTAAATATACAGAGACTAAAACAACATAAATACCATTAAGAACATTAAAATGACTGAGAAACCAAATAGCATCATATATTTAAAATATTAGAAAGCAGCAAGGCTTTAATGTGGCATAAAAAAAACCCTTGAAACACTGGGTGTGGTGACTCTCCTTGAAAGAATTATTGCCAGAAATAGGAAACATTCCTTTTTTGGAGTACAGCTTGTATAACAGCATGTTCAGGATACCAGCTGTAGGATTCTGGATGTTGTACTCCAAAGAAAGGGAGCGTTTTCTATTTCTGCATGTGACATAGTTGTAGTGCCATTTTTGATAACATTTTATTTATGATTATTAAATCTTTTAATTGTCAGAAAACAAAAAATGGCACCCAACGTAAGGGTATCCTGGCCACTATAAAAAGTCCAGGGGTTGTAATCCTTGGCGGTCTTATACTTTCAGAGCCATTGATCGTGGGAAGCCATTGAATTTTCCAGACTCCTGTCCCTTGCAGCCCTGCAACCCATTCTTACAGCATTCCCTCCAGCTGTCGGGAACAAACGTTTGTTCAAGAGGGCATTTCGGGGGGGGGGAGGATGAGGGAAATGAGCAAAAATTCAGTGATGTGCCTTTTCCAAGGAGGGGGGAAAAGAGTTTTCCCCCAGCATTAAAACTGCCATAGGATGCAGGCTAAGGAAGAGAAGCTTCCACATGAAGCACAGGGGTCGTGTTGTTTCTTTCAAAACATCTTGAATAGTAGTTGTACTTTTGGTATCTTCGTGAATTCATAGAGCACAGCTTATAATGTAATAAAAAAATTTAAAAGATAATTTATTTATTTTCAGTATATTTTGTGTATAGGCCAGCCTATGAAGAAAAAATGAAAATGTTCATATTCTTCAGAATCATTGAATTCCCTTGGAATTCAAAGGAAATCTGTTGGTTTAAGAAGCAAGCGTTCTGGCTGAATTCAGTTGTGGATTACAACTGAACAATTCCCCAAACACCTGGAGCATTCTAATTTCTTTGTTACATTTTGTATTGCAGCATTACCTATGTGCCTGCAGAGCAATTAGAAGAATATCAGGCCAGTTTGGGGCAGCAGCCAGAAGGAACTATGCCGGTAGATGTTATCTCTTCACATGCTGTGAGGTAATTTACTGCACCTTGTTATTATAGTCAGTGGAACTTTCTTTTACTGTGACTACACATGGATATGTTGTAGTCAGAACATTCTGTGAATATGTTCACCAGAGAAAAATAGTTTTACTAAAAATGATAGTACAGTATAAATGAGCAATAACACTTATGGACATTAAAAAATGGGTTTTGTTTGCTGAAGATTTCCCATACACTCAGTATTTTGGCCAGTTGTTTTCTGGTCTTTCAGAGTTACAGAAAGGAAAGGACAGCACTAAAAATGACAGCAATATCTGTACTTGGCTTTCCCCATCTGTGTAGACCAGTGCGTCCCGTTCTTGGGCCACTATATGTTTTTGGACTGCAACTCTCAGAAATCCTGGCCAGCACAGCTAGTGGTGAAGGATCTGGGAGTTTTAGTCCAATAACATCTTGACAAATGTTGTATTCTTATGTAATTTGTAATAATCTGAGAACTGCAGAGCTGGAAGGGAGCCTATGGATCATTGAGTCCAGCCCCTGTCAGGGAGGCACAGTGGGGAATCGAACTCCCAACCTCTATCTCTGCAAACAAATATCTAATCTAATGAGATATCCAGCAGTTTTTAATGGCTGTTTTGCTGTAATGTTAAACTTTTTCTTTCTTTCTTTCTTTCTTTCTTTCTTTCTTTCTTTCTTTCTTTCTTTCTTTCTTTCTTTCTTTCTTTCTTTCTTTCTTTTACTGTATCTGTAGCTGTGCCTGTGCCCTTGTTTGTGGTTTCTTTGCAGGCGTATCACCCACTGCATATCTCCATGGCAATTTGTTTTACCCCCCTACACCTACTATTCAAATTTAGACAAAGCCCTAAGCGTTCAGAAGTCCATTTTGACTTCTGTGCTGTCAGACCAGGAGAAGTACTCTTTATTGAGGACCCAGCTTAGCACATTTGTAGGCCTCTAAAAACATCCTGTATGTGTCCTTGTTTATTCAGAGAAATTCCAGAACTGCCTGAACGTGAAGAAGGGGAAGGAGAAGAAAGTGAACTTCAGAATGCAGGCTACAATAACTGGAACCAGCCAAGACGGTAGCTGTTGTTTTGATATCTATTCAGTACTTTGGTTTGATGTACTGGAATTAGACATAACATTATCGGTGTCAGTGACTATTAATTATGTAATTCTATTTCAATGTCTAGATAACTATCAGCCAGGATATCTGGAAATTAAGAGAAATGGGACCCATATTTAATTAGCAAGATTAGTTAAATGAGCAGGGAATTCAGATCTCATGCATTTTACGGAGTTATGATTAGGCAATCAGGAGTTCCTTACTGTATGTGTTGCCTTCTTCATAAGGCATGGTCCTCCCTCCTCTCTTAATGAAACTTACAGGACTCATTTGCCTCTCTTCTCTTTCCTCCTCAGTAGTGATACTGATGTTAACAAAAACTCCATTTCCAACTTTTACTTATTTATTTATTTAAAATATTTTCACTCTGCCTTTTTCCTTGAAAAGGACTCAAAACAGCTTACATCATTAAAAGGACAATATTCAAAAGTTAAGAATACTAAGTATACAAATGTTTAAAAGAATTGAACAAGCATTGTGTTTAAATGGTCAATAAAATCAATACTAAATACATACAGCAGAGCACAGTAATCCATTTAAAGATCTCAGGCTGCCAGTCACAAAGGAAACACCTGTCTGAAGAGAAACATATTTGTTTCTAACCATTATGGCAAAGCCTGATTTCGTACTATGACACATTAAAAATACTGTTGCAGAGATGTGCTAATTGTATTGAACTCAGGAATGGGAAGGAAGGGTCTCCTGGGAAAGAAGTGGGAATGAAGTGATTGTATGAGATCACAGTCAGTCAGACAGTTTCACATTTTCATCAGGCTGCTGCTGTGTTTAGTCTTTGATTTCAGCAGTTTTCCACAGATCTCTAGTGTGCAACATTAATACCATATTTTCACTCTATAAGATGCACTTTTCCACCCCCAAAAAGTGGGGGGGGGGGAAGTGTCTGCGTCTTGTGGACCAAATACTGTAAAACAGCGCTCCCCAGTGCTCAGTGGGGGGATGGTGGGGGGAGCCTTGGAAAGGTCCAAGAGTGCCTTCCATGACCCTTTGGAGGCTCCCTCCACTCACCCACCCCCGCGGGGCCAGCCAGGGCAAAATCGCGACCTTCCAGGACCCTTCTGATGCTTGGAAAGCCTCAGAAGGATCCTGGAAGCTGGCGATTTCACCCCTGCTGGCCCTGTGGAGGGACAGGGGGAGCCCCCAAAGGGCCCGAGAGTGCCTTCCAGGACCCTTTGGAGGCTCCCCCCATGGGGCCAGCGGGGCGAAATCGCACCCTTCTAGGACCCTTCTGAGGCTTGGAAAGCCTCAAAAGCATCTTGGAAGGCACTCTCAGACCCTTCCAAGGCTCCCCCCACCTCCACGGGCCCAGCGGGCTGAAATTGCCAGCATATTTTTTCCTATTTTCCTCCCCTAAAAATGACGTGCGTCTTATGGAGTGAAAAATACGGTATATAGAGCCATATTTAAATATAAAGTGAGAAGAAGAGTTTCTTCAGAGTTTGGACACGCCTCAGATATTTTTATTTATTTTGTTTTGGGGGGAAAGGTATCTGTAGTAGTCTGTTACAAGAAGAGCATCAAATATCTTTTGGCACCTTGAAGACTAAAGACATTTATTTGGCATAAGGTTTTCTATTGTGGAGGCCACCTTGGAATGTGCAATTGTGCCACACCTTTGGAATAAACTGCCCCAAATCCACCTGACCAATCTTTCTTCACTGGGGACTTTCAAGAGATTTTCAAGATAGTACATCAATAGAACGTAGAGATTTTTTCAGCTTTTAAGTTACCAGTTCTGCCATCTTGCATTTATTGACTTCTTTTAGTAACTGTTTTCTATATTATCTTTTCTTTTTAAGTATAATTAATTGATAAATATTTGTTATATTTTTATACTATTATGTTTGTGGGTATTATTTAATGGTGCATTTTTTTCTGTTTATTTTGCTATGAACTGCCCAGAGTGGCTGTAGTAGATCGATGGGAGGTATACTGCTTGGGCAGTAACAAATATTTTAATTAGAGATGGGGACGAATATAAAAACAAATTGGCTTTTTCGACAAAAATAGCCGATTCATTAAATATTTGTCTCTTCATATTCGTGGGTTCCAGAGAACCCCTACAGCCACCCCCAAAGCCTAAGCCCCCACCCCTTCCTCTCCCTGCCTTAGCCCCCCCCAAATCTCCTTACCTTAATCACCGCTGCTGAGGTCTCCATCTGGCCTCAGCAGCCACGGTGTGTAAAAAGGGAGAATGACTGCCCTTTGCAAATATGGTGGTTACGGCTTCATTTAAGATAGGGATGCTGCAGCTGCCGTCTTTGCAAAGGTTTTTTTAATAGGAAGGGGGTGTCGGTGGGGGTGGAGGGGGCTGGTGGTGGCACAGAAGTGGGGGTGGCAGCAGAGGGGTGGTGGCAGCTGGGGGACAGGGTCTTTTTTTAAAATAAGCACCCACAAATCGAGGAATAACTTCATTATTCGTCACTTCATGGGGCAACTTTGCACTTCATGATTCATCAACTTTTGACGACTCACGAAGCGGGACGGATTGACAAAATGGTGAGTGTGATGATTTGTGTTTTTATGTGTATTAGAATGGGATATGTAGTACTAAGATTGTCCCAATAGCATCCATTTTGATTTAAAGTCTGTTCTGTAGTAGGAAAGTTTTACATGCTGTTCCAGAGAAACTTCGCTCTCTGGTTATCTCGTTGCTAAGATGAGCAGAGAGCAGAGAGTTTCGTAGTCAAAATAATTCTGCCACAAAGAATGATAACAACTGAAGCTCCCTGAGAAAGTTAGGCGGGCCAACAAGACCCAGGAGGCATTCTGGGAAGAAGAA